CTTCCTCCTCTAGCTCCAAAATCAAACAGGCTGAAAATTTAAGTTCTGCCATCAACTGGAGAACCTAGTTTGCCCAAGAAGAGTAACAGCAGCCTTTTCAGACAGCTGCTTATGGAATTCAAAAACTGGCTAGTTCTGTTTGGAGCAGGTAGCCATCTCTTCAAGGGCTTGAGCTTCCATATCTTGAGTGATTTCCTCGTGGACACATCTTTACATTGAGAAAAAAAAACCTTTACACGGTCTTTTCAATTCTTCCTGAGCCAAAATATATTGAGTTGTACTTTCTAACATCTTGCAAAAGTTGCCCGGGGTTAGGAAAAAGTGATCCATATCAAGATGGAGCTTGAAGAAAAAAAAAACATTTAACTAAGCTACAACGTGATTTGTGTATTTCGTGTATTGGAAACCCAGCCATTATCTTGGTTTGTTGTAAGAATCAAGAAATGTGATATATTTGTTTGGTACCACGTGTTATTGAAACACAGGAATTTTGTGTGTTAATCGACTTTAAGGTTTAGCATGTTGTTGTTGTGACCCAGGCCCAAGTAGGTAGTATTAGATGCAAACAGTTCCAAAACAAACAGACTTTATTAGAACAGCTGAGAATTAACTCATTCTCAGAGTAATCCAAACTAAATTAAAACAAATTCTTCATAACACAAATTCTTCAGTTTAATCACCAACCTTGGTATAATTAGGCAAACTGCCAAAAGCTTCTCTTGGCAAAAGTTCAGAAGTAGAAGACGCCGACCAGAGATAAGTGCAGCAAGACAAGAACAAAACTACCAACATTGTTTTCCGACAAAGAGGCAGAGAGCCATTGCTGGTCTTTTAAGCCTTATAAGAGGAGCCAATCATCTCTTGGCCTTACTCCTGAGTCGTCCTCTTTGCTGTAGCTGCTCTTGCCTTCTGGCAGCTCTTCTCATACGTGCACTAGGAACAGACTCCTCCTGTTGCTCTGCCTCTCTACTGTCAGCCTCTGGAGGCTGAGTCCACGCATCTCTCCCCGATGGCCCTGGCCCCATCTCTGCCTCCGATGCAGAGCCCTCATCCGTGCCTTCCCCAGCCTCCAGGACTGGCCCATGTTCTTCCTCAGCCTCCTCACTGTCCGACTCCACTGCCAGCTCCGCAGGCTGCTGGCGGACCACAACACTTGTCAGAACTTGTAATAACCAAATAAATCTGGCTGGGTAACTGGCAAGTGAAGAAAACTACCCATTTTTTTTTATTATTATGGCACCAGTTTTATGCTCCAGATCTGCATTTTTTTTCTCTGCAGGAACCCAATCATAGCTGTGTGCTTTGTGCTGTCTAAGAATGCTGTCTAATATTGTTGGCCTTGTCTTATCCAGTATAATTGTTAAGAAGAGGTTGAGCGCTCTTTGTGTTTAAAATGCCATTGACGTGTTTACTGCAATGGACCTGGCTCATAATCTCTTCGCCTACCTGCCCAGCAATTATTTTAAGCTAAGTCAACAGCCCTGGCAATTGGGCAATTGTGTGTTTGTACTTTAGAATAATTCTCGTCATCTTGCTGGAGCATAGCTGGCTGAATAGGATGAAAAAGCTGTGGAAAGGTTGGTGTACTGTTGAGTTTTCATTTCATTTATATCATAAGCATTCCGATTTGTCTATAGCAGTGCTTCTTAACTTTGGCAGGTGTGTGGACTTCAGCTCTCAGAATTTCCCAGACAAGAAGGTAGACTAGATAATTCTGAAGTCTACCACGTCTTGAAGTTGTCAAGGTTGAGGTACAGTGGTCTAAAAGTATTAATCAAACTGTTTCTTTCAAGGTTAGACGTTCTGTGTCTTTGATTTATAGCGGGGCTGTCAAACTCAATTTCATTGACGGCCTTATCAGGGTTGTGGTTGACCTCCGGAGGTGGGGGGGCACTGGCTGGGTGTGGCCAACTGGGTAGGCATGGACAGCTTGACACCACTCCCCAAACTGCTGGTATGTTTCCTCTTCGCATTGGGTAGACTTGGCCGAAGTGAGGAGGGCTTTCAGGACAGCCCGGGAGGCCAGATCTGACCACATCGCAGGTCTGTAGCAGTCCATGGGCCTTGAGTTTGACACTCCTGATCTACAGCTATTCCTTTTCTAGCCTGGCATCTTCAAGATGTGTTGGCACTGGAACTCTCAGACTTCGCATGTTATGACGTTGATGTTCGCAGTTGTTGCAGATGTGCGTCCAAGAGAAATGTATTAGAACTGTCTTACCCCTACATGATGCATGATGCAGTTATGGGTGTCCATTTCTTTCTCCTCACTGGCAATTCTAGTTGCTTTGACCACCAGTTTTAAAAGGCAAATCATATTCTACCTTCGAGTCACAAAAGGCTCATGGCACAATTTCAAAAGCTCTTGGCAAGTAGTGACTTCATACATTTGAGGGAAGCCGCTTACCTGTTCTGCTGTAGCTTGTTTTGTAAGGGTTGAGAGAAAGGAAAGATGGTATCAGAAAGGTGAAGAGAGGGAATATAAGGGATGCCAAGAAAAGTGAGGGAAGCATGCCAAAGAAGAGAGGGGGGGTGGAGGATGGCCTCACCTACTTTTCTTCGTGGTGCCACTCAGGGTTGACATGCTTCAGCTTCCAAACTAATTACTCCCGTAAATACTGTAGGATGGGTGGAAATTTCTCTGATTCTTACTTATAGATAAGACGCCCCTCCATGGTGTCGTATTGAGAATAGAAATATGGGGGTATGGTGGCTTATTGAGAATAGAAATAATAGAATTAATAATAGAATTCTTTATTGGCCAAGTGTGATTGGACACACAAGAAATTTGTCTCCGGTGCATAAGCTCTCAGTGTACATACAAGCAACAAAGTGTTAAATCATGATCATAATCATCATAAAATACAATCATCATAAATCATAAGATGCAACATAATACAACATAATAGTCATAGGATGCTAAATAACCAACATAAATCACAACCGGGCACCAATAAAAGCAATCAACCTAAATCATGAGTTACACGCCACAGAGTTATAGTCATAAGAAGCGAAGGAAATAGGTAACAGGAAAGTAATTTCAGTGTTTTGTAAGCTATGAATTAACTATAGCCAGAACTATTAGCTTAGTTGTGTCTTTGCCTGTTAGAAGTTACGCTTCTGTAACATGCCATAGGTTGACCACAAATATTTCTTATGTAGACTGGCTAACAGGTTGTGGTTTTGATACTTGGCTACGATACCTTGCAAGTTACTAAAATCCAGGAAGGTGATATGATATTCAGCTTAAACAGTGGTTAAGAACAGCCTGGACAAATGACCAGAGGTAAACAAAGTTCATTATTATAATAGTAAAACACCCCACCCATATAAAGTAGTCAATTTACATGATGATAATGGAGCGGAACTAAATATGGCATTGTTTTGTGAGCACGTGTGACTGTCATGAATCAATCAGCATTTCTCTTTCATTTCCTGTAGTAAATGATACCAAAATAACTATGCTTGATTTGTGATGTGCACTTTGGGTGTGAAACTCAGAGGCATCCTCTTTCTGCTTCTGAACAGAAATAGAAGTTTTGTCTTTCCCTCAATCTTGTGTGGATATTGGCGTCTTCACATCACCTTCTCATACCAAGCCAGACCTCTGGCCCTAGGTAATAATCAGCAAGAGGAAAAAAGTAGCCCATCCTTTCATTAAGATTTTTTTTTTTAATTTCTCCTCTGGATGCCTTGACTATCTGATGGAGGACAGGAGGAGAAGATGACATTTTCTGCTGGGGTAGCCATTTATGGAGGACTATCGCTGGGCGTTCTCCCCTTTCTTGGTCCTAAATGTTTAAAGTCTGGAATATTTTTCTTTCTGCTATATTGGGTTATTTTATGATTATGCTCTATCCACTGATGTTCTGTCTATTTGATGACCTTTTGAAAATGTGCCGAATATGTTTATTTGGAGACCACTATGATCAATAGATCTGCCTGTTTATCATCCATCATCCATCATCTATTTACCTACCTACCTACTATCTACTTCTATCACTTCTTTTCTCTCTCTCCCTCCTTCTTTCCCTCCCTCCCTATATCCTATTATCTATCTGTCTGTCTATCTGTCTATCTGTCTATCCATGCATCCATGCATCCATGCATCCATGCATCCATGCATGCATCCATGCATCCATGCATCCATCATCTATCTATCTATCTATCTATCTATCTATCTATCTATCTATCTATCTATCTATCATCTTTTTTTCTAAAATAAATCACCCAGAGATAATAATGGTTCACTATTTCAATGAAGAAAATTCCTAGGTTAAAAGCAACATCCATTTAATATATCTCCCAGTTTATCACCTTCTAGAGGAGATGGACGGCATGGAAATTTAAAAAATAAATAAAGTAAAGTAATATAATATAATATAATATAATATAATATAATATAATATAATATAATATAATATAATATAATATAATAAACTCTGCATCTGAAATAACTACACAATTCTTGGGGTTTGTTGTTGTTGTTGTTATTGTGTGCCATTGACTTTCAGCTTAAAAGTTTTTAAATGCTCATTCTTTGTGTGGTGTATGATCCAACCACTCTTTTTGTTTCAAGGGTGTGAGTTTTAAGATATTTCAGCACTTAAAGCTATTTCAGCACTTAAAGCTGAAATAGATTTTGAAGCCGGGGGGATAACGTGAGACCAAGTTCTCTTGTTTCCACATGAATCTTCAACCACATGAATTGGTGTAGTTGCACAAGGCTTTTATTTTCATTGTTCCTTTCTGTGTTTTTATAATGCCAAGTAATTTTAATACTAAGCCCACGCAAAAGGGTGCATAAAAGGTGAGGCGGTACGGGTGAACGTAAACGCATCGTTTTTACCTTTGTGCAGCCAAGTTAAGAAAAGGGAAACATTAGCGTGTTACTTAGTCATACAATCAATCTTAATCTTGCTTGGTGCTCCTTTTTTATATAAAACATGCACGCACAAACGCTGAATGATTCCTCTTGCTGTGATTCTTCCTGTCTGCAGGTTTGCAGAAGACTAAGAAGATCAACAGACCTTTACGCATCCAATGATGTTCCAGGCCATCAGAATACTTTCTGTCTTATTAATGCTCCCTGCTCAACATATGGGTAAGAACTGTTGCATGTCTGTGACCACGGCTCACTGTTTCGGTGAAGAAAATTCCTATGTTAAAAACAACATCCATTTAATGACGCTCTCGGTTTATCATGGGAGGTATTAAAAACACTGCCGTACTAACGCCAGCCCTTCTTTTCGTGGTCTTATTACTTTACCTGCTTGTTTTCTCTGGCTTTTAAAGAAGTGTGCTCAGAGTTGTAAGACCTCCTAATGTCAGCATTCCAGAACAACCCAACTCCAATTAAAAACTCCGAGACAAGCATCATCTCAAATCTTTTATTTATTGGAATAGGTCAGTGATGGCTAACCTTTTCCGGACCAAGTGCCCAAAGAGTGCGAGCACGCTCAAATGCATGTGTGTGCGCCCGAACCCCCGAAATGCAATGCGTGAGCGCTCCCTGCATACGCCCTGCTTATGCGCACCCCTGCATGCGCCCCGCCCCTGCACATGCACACATGGCCCCACCGCATGCGCCCCAGCCCCTGTGCATGTCCGCGGGCCCCCGCATGTGACCCGCCCCCCGTGCATGCACAGCAGAGACCTGAAGAACAGCTGGCCACTGGGAGGCACGCATATATGCGTAGCAGAGCTGAACTGGGGCGATGGTTCGCGTGCCATCAGAGAGGGCACGCATGCCAAAGATTCGTCCTCACAGGAATAGGCACATCTGGGAAAGCCCGAATCTGAGAGTTCCAGGTTTTCCCTCAGTAAATCAAAACCCCAAACCCAGCCCCAACACCCATCAGTCCATCACATGGCCCAATCATCCTCCGTCCCAACTTGAGCCACTACTGCAACCACTCCTCCTCCAGATGCAGGAGCACCCTGACCTTGACCGAAAAGAAGAATGCTATTATGTCTTAACTACAATCTCTTTACTAAATTCCCCCCCCCCTCCTACTTTCCCAAGCACAAGAAGGTGGCAGCATGGAAGCTTCTGGGGTTAATATGGTTTCCAAAGCTGACACCTGAGCTACAATTAAAGCTATCTGTTTCTTTTCCTATTTCTGTGTCTACTAAAAAGTCAGGGTTTCTTTTCTTTTTTTAAAAAAGTTTTTTAATTTTTTTAATTTTTTATAAAAATGTCAAATCAATGCGTGAACAGTGTGGCACCTGGGCGCCATACATTCCAATACAAACAATGTTTGTAATGTTTGATCAGATCAAACATTATTATTACATTCAACCAATCTGTGAAATTCCCATAACAATACACGTCTATATTAGGTTACAGTCTACCATTATTCAATTATTCCACTTATTTCTCATTAGAATAGAATAGAATAGAATAGAATAGAATAGAATAATAGAGTAGAGTAGAGTAGAGTAGAGTAGAGTAGAGTAGAATAGAGTAGAGTAGAATACAATAGAATAGAATAGAATAAAATAATAAAGTAGGGTAGAGTAGAGTAGAGTAGAGTAGAGTAGAATAGAATAGAATAGAATAGAATAGAATAGAATAGAATAGAATATTTTTATTGGCCAAATGTGATTGGACACACAAGGAATTTGTCTTTCGTGCATATGCTCTCAGGGTACATAAAAGAAAAAGATACGTTCATCAAGAATCATAAGTACAACACTTAATGACAGTCATTAAGTTTATTACTGTCAATAATGTTTATTACATTATCATTTTCATTTTGTCAAATAAAAATGTAATGCATTAATATTCCCTTTATTTCTATCTCTTACTCTAGCTTTTAATCATATCACCCTATATTAAAAAAGCTCTTTCTTTCTTTCCTGTCTAACTTCTAATCATGCCTACAAAAAGAGAAAGAGAATAGAGAGGGAGAGATAGGGAAAAGACCATTCAAAACAGCAACCGAGAACAGGAATCATCCATCCATCATCTCTTGCCTGCTTAAAAAAAATCAGGGTTTCTTGGTATGATCTTGTGACAGACCAGGAAGGTTGTGGGGGGGGGATTCCTAGCTGAGTATTAAATCATGGGGACATTTGCGCTGGATGAGAGATTTCATTTGTGTCAGGAGGCAAATAGAGAATGGACAAAGAGAAAGAGGCACTAAGAGAGGGGCTGTAAAACTGTCACTGTCCCCACTGGAGTTTGCAATCAGTTCTTTGATTTATCTTCCAAGGTTGGCCATTAACCATCTGTGCAACTTAAAATTGCCCCCAACCCACTCTTGAATGACTGGCTTTTGATGGTAGGCTATTAAAATGGTGCCTTCTGTTCAGTCATCAGGGCATTTCCTCATAGAAGCCAAAGAAGGAATATTCTAGACTAGAAGTCCTCAACTTTGGAATGTTGAAAGCCTGTTTAGGACCTCTTGTAAAATGGGACGGGTGGCCAGTCATAAAACACCCTTTTATCAGAAGGCAATTAACAGCCTTTTATTTTCTAAATATACCTCTGGAATGTCTTCTTTGAGATCCAAAGGATAGTGAGCCGGTGAACATAGTGTCCAGTCTTCATTCTCTTGAGCAGGTCAACATGTCCAGTTAGTGTGGCATTTAGCCTTCCAAGAGCTTTTGACCATCACCACCTATCAGGAATTATTTTTCTCTTTTTAAAATATAATTTATATTGAAGATATATTTAAACAAGATAAACAAGATAAAAACAACACAAATATTAGAAAAAAACCAAGGAAAATAAAGAGTGAATAAGAAAGAAAGAAAGAAAGAAAGAAAGAAAGAAAGAAAGAAAGAAAGAGAAAAAGAAGGGAAGAAGGAAGGAAGGAAAAGAAAGAAAAGAAAGAAAATGGAAATAGAAAGGAGAAAGAAAGGAAAGAAGGAAAGAAAGAAAGAAAGAAGAAAGAGAGAAAGAAAATGGAAATAGAAAGGAGAAAGAAAGGAAAGAAGGAAAGAAAGAAAGAAAGAAAATGGAAATAGAAAGGAGAAAGAAAGAAAGAAAATGGAAATAGAAAGAAGAAAGAAGAAAGAAAGGAGAGGAGAAGAGAGGAGAGGAGAGGAGAGAAAAGAGAAGAGAAGAGAAGGGAAGGGAAAGGAAGGGAAGGGAAGGGAAGGGAAAGAGAAACTTCTGAACTTTTGGACAGCAGTTAAAAATGCAATTGTATTTTACCCTCTCTGAGATTACGTTATATTTTCCTTCTTTCCATAAAATAGCCTTTCTAATCCTAGAACCCATAAACACTCATTTGTTTTTCTCTTTTTCCCCCTAAAAATTCCATAAGGGGTAGGAATTATTTCTCAATGTATTGGAACCTGAACAGCATTGTGTGGATTGCTGTAGAAAACCGCCTTGGCCCCTTGAAAATAAGAGTTATTTCTATATGCTTAGCCAGATAGGTTGTTTATTTTTATGCAAACAAGTATATAAAATGGTTAAAGTCCAGTCAAGACTTGTCAACTTCCAGGGCATCTTGAAGTTGTCAGTCTGGAAGGAGGGAAGGTAGACAATAGAAGATAGGAAATGAGCTTTTTCTTTTCTTTTTTAAAGGAATGTTCTCTATGCATGAAATTGGTCATTTTCCACAGATAGTTTTCTTATGCGTGTTAGAGTATATTGTTCACATGACATTATTTCAAGTGAGAGCCAGCCATTAGAATTAAGGGAGATAATAGCAAGAGAAACCACAATTTTTCCGTCAACAATTTTGTACTATAAAGGGAATGTTGGCATGTGCAGCTTTTCTATCCCCAAGTAATAAGTTAGGGATATCTGTAGAAATATCAACTCCTTCTCCAGATTACAATTAAAGGAAGAGTACATTTTCGTGACTTCTGGTCACTGCAGTGAGAAGTTCAGCGAAGTATATGGTCATGAACCACAAGAGAGCACATTTGACAGATCCGTTTCAGGGCTGGACACAGCAGGAAACTCCGGGGGAAATTCTCTCTTCTTGCTTTATCCTTCCAATGGCATAGTAGAAGAATTCTGTCAGTTGGAGAAGTTCTCAAATATTTGGCTCCGAAGCTATTTACAGTGAAAGTGAATCCATATTGGCTCTTCCTAAGGAAATACGATTCTCATTTCTGTGAGCTGTGGGGAAGGAATTACCGTATTTTTCGGAGTATAAAACGCACCTTTTTCCCCCCTAAAAGGGGGTGAAAATTTGGGTGTGTCTTATACACCGAATGTAGCCCTGCCCACCCACTGGCCCCCACCCTTTGGCCTCTGCCTCCCAGTAATTTACCTCCTTGCAGCAAGCAGCAAGAAGAAACAGCTCGTTTCAGCTTCAGCACAGCCTAATTAGCACAAGTTGATTGGATCGGCCTCCCGACTCTCAGCTGTTTTGCTCTCAGCTGTTTTGCATGGGCCTCTGCTGCTTGCTGCAAGGAGGTAAATTGCTGGGAGCAGATTTTTTTTTCTTGTGCTAATCAAGCTATGCTGAAAACGAAAATGAAAGTAAAGCAGGCTATTTGCTGTTTGCTGCAACGAGGCAAAATTGCTGGGAGGCAGAGGCAGATTTCTTTTTCTTCTTTTCCTCAGCAAAAAAGATAGGTGCATCTTATAGTCCGGTGCGTCTTATACTCCAAAAAATACAGTAGCAGCTTTGCTTAGACTTAAAGAGACATAATTTATGGTACTGGCTGGGTTATGAGAAGAAGGGGTTGCCCCCAAATCCCACCCCCCAGTGAACTTCCATGAATTGAAGTTGGGTCTAATCCAACGTTTAATCTACCTCAAGGTCGTACATTCACTTTCTTCACCATGGTTGAACTGTCTTCATCCATGTGAGCCAGTGCATTTTTTTTAAATCATGAAGAATGCTGAACCCACATGATAAACAAGCATGATGGATTGGAAGCCAATCCCTCTATGTTTCAGCAGAGGCACAGGGCTTCCTCCAGAGGAAGGTGTAGATCAGTGGTGGGTTTCAAATTTTTTTACTACCGGTTCTGTGGCTGTGACTTGGTGGGCGTGGCATGGCTTGCTGGGTGTGGCTTGGTGGGTGTGGCAGGGAAAGGATATTGTAAAATCTCCATTCCCTCCCCACTCCAGGGGAAGGTTATTGCAAAATCCCCATTTCCTCCTGATCAGCTGGGACTCGGGAGGCAGAGAATAGATGGGCGCAGGGCCAGTCAGAATTTTTACTACCAGTTCTCCGAACTACTCAAAATTTCTGCTACCGGTTCTCCAGAACTGGTCAGAACTTGCTGAAACCCACTTCTGGTGTAGATAGCATTCCAGCTTGAACAAGTCACGTTTTCTCTGTGATTCTCCAAGATCCACTGTGGATAACACAGTTCTTAAAATTATCTCTACCTTCAGCCCACATTTTCATTCTCTCTTTCTCTCTCTCTCTCTCTCTGCTTCCTAACTCAGCAACTTCAGAAATGGTTCCTTTGTCTTCTCAGCTTAATGGATTTGTGTTCTAGGTACCAGATAAATAAGTCCATGTTCTTTATAGCTTCCTTTGTGTGTGCCAACAGGAATAGACCCATCTTGTCCCCATTTGGATCCAGAACTGAAACTCTGGCAGCCAGGACATGACGAAAAGAATCACGTAGTGATTAGCCAAGGCCAAAAGCTTCTCCTATCTTCTTCTGCCACCGTTCATTCCATTGTCATCACAAATGGAGGTAAGGCTGGTTTTGTTTTTATAAAAGTTTTTAATTTTTTAACAAACATACACACACAAACAAAAAAACACACAATGCATTTTTTCTGAACAGAGTATTGGAGTCACAAATTTGTACAGTTTTTAGTTATCTCACTAACACAATTTATCTATTTCACTTTTTGCCATAATATTCTTTCTCTCTAATTTTTATTTTCTTTTCCTTGTTTTTTTCTGATCTATAGCCAATATTACCATTCGCCCTAATCTCTAATCTTAGTCAAGTTTTCTTTTTTTTCCTCCTCTAATTGTTCTCCATGTTAAAACCCTTTGATTTAAAATCAATCATTTTTCTAATACTTAGCCCTAACTCTAAATCGTCCTATTCAAATATTTTCCCATTACTCCTTTTTCACAACATAATATAATTTTAAATGTTTCCCCTAAATTCCATTGTTCCAATCACATATATTAATATTCATAAACCATTTCCTTCCCTCTTTTCCATTTCTTCCTTTATCAATTTATTCAAATACTACAATCAAATATCTTACTACAATTCACTTAAGTCTATAACATTAAAATCATTCATAAGGCTGGTTTTGATGGAAAACCATAGCATCTATATTCTATATTCAAAATGCAGAACAGCTTACTCAGTTGCTTGATAAAGTCCTTCCCTTAATGAAAATAAGCTTAATATTCTTAAAGCGATTTTAAAAATTGCATTCATTCCTTGATTTTTTCCCCCCCATGATGAAACCCCTATTTATCTGATGCTTTTTATTCTAATAAGCATCTAATTTTCTATTTAGGTTAAATATGAACCTATTTAGCTGAATCTATCTCTTCCAGATTGACCTAGAACAGAGTTTCCCAACTTTGGCAGTTTGAAGTTTTGTGGACTTTAACTCGTGCTGGCTTGGGAATTCTGGGAGTTGAAGTCCACACCTCTTCAAGCTGCCAAGACGGAGAATCATTGACTTGAGTGATGAAATGCATTCTGGGACATTTAAGTTGGAATGAAGCACCATTTGGGGCAGTGGTGGAATTCAAATTTTTTTACTACCGGTTTTGTGGGTGTGGCTTGGTGGGCATGGTGTGACTTGGTGGGCGTGGCAGGGGAAGAATACTGCAAAATCTCCACTCCCACCCCACTCCAGGAGAAGGATATTGCAAAATCCCCATTCCCTCCCCACTTCTGGGGGAAGGATATTGCAAAATCTCCATTCCCACCCCACTCTGGGGCCAGCCAGAGGTGGTATTTGCCAGTTGTCCGAACTGCTTAAAATTTCTGCTACCGGTTCTCCAGAACCTGTCAGAACCTGCTGAATTGATTGGATTGAATTGATTTAAATTGATTGGATTTTAAATCTGTCTGGGCCAAACTATTTAGTTTGATTTTATCTCTGCTTTTTAAATTTTGTATGTATGTATTTTATTGTTGATGTTCACCGCCCTGAGTCCTTTGGGAGTAGGGCGGTATATAAATCAAATAAAAGTAAAGTAAAGTAAAAGTAATAGCACCCCTGATTTGGCAGCAATAACATGACAGCCTTTGGGGAACCCACTTTATATAAATTTCACCGCTGCTGGAGGAAAGTTTTCACTCCCATCCAGACAGGTATCAATGCAAGTAACGCTAAACATACTTACTTCATTATTTATTACACTTGTTTTGGAATGAATGCAAAATTGCGTTTTAATTTGTTCTGAAACCAAAGCACATTCCTTACTCCCGGGATCTCAGGCAAGCAAGGCTACATGCCTGTGTCTGGTATTCTAGTTTGCTTGTGCCAGGTGTAAGTATTACAGCGCTGTCTTGGCTAATGAGTGGATTCGGTACAGACAGTTTCAGTTATTTATACCAAGGGCAGCTTTATATAAACAGCATCACCTAGTAAACATTTTGCTGGGCTTCCTCACATGAAGGTTGGTTGGCCTCTATTTATGGGGAGATTTATGTTGGAACGCTGCTCCCCACTAAATTGAAAGGCGCAGAGAAGTCATGCAACACGGATACAAATATAGCATTGTCAAGGTAAACAGTGTTAAATTTAATATGGATAAAACCAACTTTGGTTAATATCAGGGTAGAAATTCTGGGGAATAGATGTCATCAGCTACCTTGTCTGCAGCTAAACTTGTTTTGTTGTCCCAGTTGGAAAAACTGCAAATTTGATTATTGTGTTTCTTTTCCACTTCCTTTTTCAATGTCCTACTAACTGTTCACCGAGAATCCATAATTATAGGATGGGTAAAGGCACAGTCTGCTATAAAAAGGCACTGTACTGCAGGCTAGTGGTGCCAAGAGACTTGGGGAAGTTCTAATTCCCTATTTGTCTTGTACAGGGGTCAGCAGCCTGTGGCTCTGGAGCCACATGTGGCTCTTTCACCCCTCTGCTGCAGCTCCTTGTCACTCAAAATATGCATCACAACCGCCAATGTGCGACACCCGCGAGCACACAATTTATTGAGCTTTTCAACCCCCGGTAGGCCAACCATGGATAAATCCAATAAAAGAAAAGTTTCAGAAGGAAAAAGAACGTTTAATTCAACTACATATGCTAGTTTTGTGGTTGCTCAAGAAATAGTCAGGCATGGGAAGGGTTTTGTGGCTCCCGGTGTTTTCTTTTCTGTGGAAAACGGGTCCAAATGGCTCTTTGAGTGTTTAAGGTTGCAGACCCCTGGTCTTGCAGAATAGAAGGATGTAAAACCTTTTTAGATCAGGGGTCCCCAACCTGTAGGCTGCAGCCCACTAGTGGGCCGTAAGAGGTTTGCAACCGGGCTGTAGAAACAGCCAGGAGCACACATGCGTATGCTCACACACTGCTTGCACAAGTGAGGATGTGTGTGTGCTTGAGCAATGAACAAGCCTGCGTGTGCACTCCATTGAAGTAAGTGTCAAAGATCTTCTTCAAATTGGCTGCTTTTTAATGGTCATTTTGCCCCAGCTGTGACTGAGTTATGGTTAATGCATTAAGAATTGTGGTCTGAGCTGAAGATAGTCAGGTATTTATCCTAGTGTTCTGCAGAAGTGAGAAAAATTGGCAAAATAAAATCAGCTTTCATTTGTTGTTGTTGTGTTTAAGAAAGTTCTGACTCTTATGGCGAACTACTGAAATATCAGATAATAAAGCTCAGTGTCCCAACAATCATGCTTAGGAGGAGCTATGCACTTCCAGAGAAACAAGGAAAAGCATTAGAATAGAATAGAATAGAATAGAATAGAATAGAATAGAATAGAATAGAATAGAATAGAATAGAATAGAATAACAGAGTTGGAAGGGACCTTGGAGGTCTTCTAGTCCAACCCCCTGCTTAGGCAGGAAACCCTACACCACTTCAGACAAATGGTTATCCAACCTCTTCTTAAAAACTTCCAGTGTTGGAGCATTCACAACTTCTGGAGGCGAGTTGTTCCACTGATTAATTCTTCTAACTGTCAGGAAATTTCTTCTTAGTTCTAGGTTGCTTCTCTCCTTGATTAGCTTCCACCCGTTGCTTCTTGTCCTGCCCTCAGGTGCTTTGGAGAACAGCTTGACTCCCTCTTCTTTGTGGCAGCCCCTGAGATATTGGAAGACTTCTATCATGTCTCCCCTAGTCCTTCTTTTCATTAAACAAGACATACCCAGTTCCAGCAACCGTTCTTCGTATGTTTTATCCTCCAGTCCCCTAATCATCTTTGTTGCTCTTCTCTGGACTCTTTCTAGAGTTTGCTGTTTAAAAATTTGCTCTTTTTAATTTCACAATTCTGCTCTATAACGTAGAAGTCTGAATAATCCACTTAGTTCACATTTTACCCGATCTGGATGATGAGTTCAAACTTGACAGTGAATTATCTGTGTCTGATACAGACAATAATCACCAAATGACAGTGCTAACCAAACTGATTTCTTTCCCCTTCTGAAAAAAAAAAGAAAGTCTTTTCTTTGCAGGGAATTTGTTTAGAGAGAATCCAGCAAGGAAGGGGGGAAATCAGAAGATTAAAAATATGCATTATCGACCTTGTTTATCATTTGCCTTCCTTCAAAAGAGGCACAACTGAGAAGTCCAATAATATAGAAGGAAAAATCGTAACTTTATGGTACAGTTTTAAATCAACCAACTTAAATACCCCTTTTGCTTCTCCTCTGTTAGGAAAACTAGTGATTAAAGATAACACAGCCCCCATTGTTTTACGCACTCGTCATATACGGATAGAAAATGATGGAGAACTACATATCGGGAGTGAGAATTGCCCTTTCCGGAGCAGTCTGACAATCATCTTATATGGACGGTATGTAATTAAACCGACCTCATCCATAATTTTGAAGATTAGCCCCACAAGGCTTTTTTTTTCTTCTTCTGGATGGACGGATGGAGGAGCAGAGATCTGGTACCTTAGACATCAAAATTACTACAATGCACTGGGAAGAAGGATGCTTATGGGAGGATGCTTAATTTTGCAGACGTAACTCCAAGTCCAAAGTTGGACCCTGTGGAAATACGTAGAATGATTACAAATCAGAACTGATACCGACAAGAATAAAAATAGACTGAATTAAAGGTTATTAAGATAGGGACGTGGTGGCTCAGTGGCTAGGATGCTGAGCTTGTCGATCGAAAGGTCGGCAGTTCAGTGGTTCGAATCCCTAGTGCTGCGTAATGGGGTGAGCTCCTGTTACTGGTCCCAGTTTCTGCCAACCTAGCAGTTCGAAAGCACATAAAAAATGCAAGTAGAAAAATAGGGACCACCTTTGGTGGGGAAGGGAACAGCGTTCCATGTGCCTTTGGTGTTTAGTCATGCCAGCCACATGACCACTGAGATGTCTTCAGACAGTGCTGACTCTTCAGCTTTGAAACGGAGATGAGCACTGCCCCCTAGAGTCAGGAACGACTAGCACATATGTGCGAGGGCAACCTTTACCTTTATCTAAGATAGGATGCAATTGAAATTACCCAGGTTTTCTGGTAGAGAGTTTTAGTTTGAGGCCCCAATGGCAGGATATGGGTTAGATGTGACCCTATCATTGCCCAGACAAAATTCTGTTCTTATATGTTCCTAATCAACCCAACCCTCAGGTTATATTTGGAGACTTGATTACAAACTTTTGCAATTCTGAGATTGTAAAAGTGACTAATTGAGAATCGGAATGAGAATAGTACTTCCAAAGATGTATCTTCAGGGGCAAGTAGAACTGTCTAGAAGATTTCTTCAGATCTGTATCGTCTGACTAGGATCTGTTTGAATCTTTTTGCTACTTACTAGTTATCTAATAGTAGCTTCCCATGTTACGGAATTCTTGCTTCACAAATCCTGCTTCTTTTCATCCTGCCGAGTGAAAGAATTTCATGTTTCTGGTGCCCTTTCCTGTTTCTGCCGCAATGTAATAAATGGTCTTCCTTTATTTTTCTGATTTTATTGTTCTGCTGCTTTCAGAAAACATTTATTCATCAGTGAACCATCCTTTATTTGATGGTTTCAACTGATGGCTTTATAATACACTCTGTTTATTTTTTGGGGGGTGGGGGCACTTCGACTATTGCTCTACAGCAATTCCCAAAGGTGAGAAATAAAATGCTATTCAAATTCACCCCACAGGGCTGATGATGGCAGCCAACCAGACAGTTACTTTGGGCGAAAGTTCATTGGCGTCATTGACGGCGGGACTCTTGAGGTTCACGGTGAGCGGAAGCTGTCCTGGACTTTCTTAAACAAGACTCTGAATCCAGGGGGATTGGAAGAAGGGGGCTATTACTTTGAACGAAGCTGGGGGCATCGTGGGATCATCGTCCATGTCATCGATCCCAAGACCGGAGCTGTCATCCATTCTGATCGGTGAGTCTAAGAGCTCAGACTCTTTCCCTGTTTCAGCCAATGTAAGCAAGCTTTTCTCTTTTCTTCTTTATATTGTTTTCCCGATGTCCAAAAACAAATGCTTAGCTCCTCTGACCTCACGCGCCAAACGGAATTGCAAAAACACCATTAATCAGTTGTGCTGTACTTCTTAAAGTACTAGCTGCCACAGATGCTAATACCGTATTTTTCGGAGTATAAGACGCACCTTTTTCCCCCCTAAAAGGGGGTGAAAATTTGGGTGCGTCTTATACACTGAATGTAGCCTCGCCCACCCACTGGCCTCCACCCTTTGGCCTCTGCCTCCCAGAAGTTTACCTCCTTGCACCAAGCAGCAAGAAGAAACAGCCCATTTCAGCTTCACCACAGCCTAATTAGCACAAGTTGATTGGATCGGCCTCCCGACTCTCAGCTGTTTTGCTCTCAGCTGTTTTGCGCAAGGTTAATGCTAATCAAGCTTAGTATGTTGGTCAAATTCACTGACTGTTTCTCTACCTGACATGGTCAAGGAGTTTTGTGCAAACACAGTTTGTGAATGCAGGATGCATTTAGATTTTAGATATTTAGATTTTGGAACGGGCTGCAGGTGAATATAGAAGTGGGGTGGAATGGGTGTGGTTTAGGCAGGGAGTATGGTTGGAGGTCAAAACCCACATTTTTTCTTAAACTTCATTCTGAAGTTGATTGCCCCTTCTACTTTATCAGGCTTAAAATTACAGTGTTTAACTTCCTGAAAATAGGCAGGAACAGAAGAGAGGGCTGTAGAATGCACCGAAAGCGGTTTGAGTGAGTTAGTTAATTACGGACTAGCCCAGCATCATAAAACGAATAAGCACTTCCAGTAGAATCATATATATCAACGATATGATCGTGAAAGAAGTGAAAGATATAAAAACTTGCAGCTAAAGGCTTAAAAGATAGAAAGGAAAGGAGGAATACATTTGGTTCCTGGGACCAAAGCTTGTACTCCTGTGACAGATATAATGGCAAGAAAAATCCACCTATAATGGGATGAGTGTGTGTTATCTGATTCCTGCAGGTCATTCTGTGTTCAGAGTTGGCTTCTCTTGAGTGTGCAAACAAGCATTGATGCTATCTTCTTCTTCGAGAGTGTCTGTGCATGAATCAACATGGCGAATGCAGATGTTTCTACATCTCACGTGTCCTTCTGTGTTTCTTCAGATTTGACACCTACAAACTCAAAAGCGAAAGCCTCCGCTTTGTGCAATATTTGAACGCTGTGGAAGATGGCATGATCTTGTCGGTCGCGGTCAATGACGAAGGCTCCAAGAATTTGGATGACTTGGCCAGGAAAGCAATGACCAAACTGGGCAGCAAGCATTTCCTCCACCTTGGCTTTAGGTAGGAGCCTGGCTTGCCAGGGTTACAACACAAAGTCCTTATTGTGCTTTTCCTGGATCTAAAATAATTCCACTTTCCCCCTCACCCTCTGCCCAAGAGGACAAACATCCCTCACAGTGATTTTCCCTCCTCTCCTCTTCCTTTTCATCTGAGAGTATTCAGAGGCCAAGGACATGGCTTGAGATGGCTTTTGTCCACACAGTTGGGTTGAAGGAATGCTTCAACATTGAATCAATCAGTGCAAAGTGGACTAATGACCTCTATTCAGAGATAGAGTAGAAATACTCTATGCAGAAGGTCCCAGGTTCAATCCCTGGATATTTCCACAGAAGGCTGTAAAAATCCTCCAAGATCTTGTAGAGCAGTTGTGGGGTTCTACAAGAAAGCATTAATGGCCATGGGTATCGATGCATCCAATGACTATATGTTTTGCCTCCCTAGGAATCCTGCTTTACCTGATGATTAGCAAGATTCTTTTAACTCAAAGATATGAAGCAGGAAGTTTGCACATTGCAAAGGAAAGCATTAACATATAGCATCATCATGATGCATATAATAGTGTCTTCAAGCTTTAGAGGGACATTTTTGGAAAACAGAAATTAGAGTGGTTGCATCTCATAGTTTCTTTTGGAAACCTGCCCAGTTGTCCAAAATAAGGCCACAGTAGTAGTTCTCCTGGAGCAGAAGCCCTTGGGCTGGCAAAGCTTAAAGGGAGTCACTTTACCAGTTTCTGTAATGGTATGTGAGAATGACCTTCAGGGACAGAAAGAAGAGCCAGGGGGAACAGTCAGATAAGAGGCTGCTGAGCCTGCAGAAGGAATGGGACCCTCCCTAATTTCTTGGGTTGTAAAGGCGACGGGGGAAAAGTATACTTTTAGACTTGCAAAGATTCAATTCATGTAGAATTGGTTCATCTGGGCATGCTTCCAGCCTGGACTACCTCACAGGCTGACAGTTTTCTTTTCACCATTTGGCGAGAGATGTATAGTTCATTCTGCATTTGTTGTTGTTGTTAGTTGCGAAGTCATGTCCGACTCATTGCGACTCCATGAACAATGTTTCTCCAGGCCTTCCTGTCCTCTACCATCCCCAGGAGTCCGTTTAAGCTCAAGCCGACTGCTTCAGTGACTCCATCCAGCCACCTCTGCCATCCCCTTCTTCTTTTGTCCTCAATCGTTCCCAGCATTAGGCTCTTCTCCAGGGAGTCCTTCCTTCTCATTGGTGGCCAAAATATTTGAGTTTCATCTTCAGGATCTGGCCTTCTAAAGAGCAGTCAGGGTTGATCTCCTCTAGGACTGACCGGTTTGATCACCTTGCAGTCCAAGGGACTCTCAGGAGTCTTCTCCAGCACCATAATTCAAAGGCCTCAATTCTTTGGCGCTCAGCCTTCCTTATGGTCCAACTTTCACAGCCATACATTGCAACTGGGAAAACCATAGCCTTGACTATACACACTTTTGTTGGCAGGGTGATGTTCTCTGCTTTTTAGTATGCTGTCTAACTTTGCGATAGCTTTCCTCCCCAGGAGCAAGCGTCTTTTAATTTCTTGGCTGCAGTCCCCATCTGCAGTAGGATCTCAAAATTCCTAACCAAAGAAAGGTTGCCTTTTCCTTACGGATACAGTGATGAATCTGTGGTCTCACTCAATATGAAGCCATTTCTGGTGGTGGATTCCACCAGAGTGCCAATTCCTTGTCCTTTATCATCCCTCTCCCCCTCAAAAAAACCAACTGAAGGAATTCTGACCCAATTTACACTCCAAAGACTGAGTAATCTTGATTAAACCAACCACCCTAAACTTCCCAGACTGGTCTTTTTGTTATGAGAAAAACAAGCTGCAATCTTCAGGAAGCACTTACCTGGCAGTCAGCTGCCTGCCTTATTTATGAATAAGCCTGGAGAAAATTGCCTCACAAGCAATTGCACTGCCTGTGGTTCCTCACTTTGTTTTGGAGTTTGTGTGGGGTGTGTGTGTGTTTGTGATATCCTGCCTTTTGTGGAGGCGGCATAAATAGCACTCCCTGCTCCATTGTTTCCCCAGAAATCCTCACCCTGTCAGGTAGGTTTGGGTGAGAGCAACTCTGACTGGCTTGAAGTGACTCAGGGAGTTTCTGTGGCCAAAGGTGGACTTGAACCTGGGACTCCTACTCCATCACTTTAGCCGAGCGGTTCCCAACGTGGGGCCCATGCCCCACAGAGGGGCAATTTCAGTGGTGAAATTCATTTTTTTTTACTACCGGTTCTGTGGGCATGGCTTGGTGGGCGTGGTGTGGCTTGGTGGGCATGGCTTGGTGGGCATGGCAGGGGAAGGATACTGCAAAATCCCCATTCCCTCCCCACTCTGGGACCAGCCAGAGGTGGTATTTGCCGGTTCTCTGAACTACTCAAAATTTCCGCTACCGGTTCTCCAGAACCTGTCAGAACCTGCTAGATTTCACCCCTGGGTAATTTGATTTTTTTAAATTAATTTTTTTCTTTCACATACATATTTTATGAACAGAGTATTGATTGATGAAGAAATGACGAAATAAGATAATTAATTGAAGTAATGCTAAGGAATTAGGATTTGAAGGGCGGATGGTGATATTGTTTATAGGAGTTCACTTTTTGAATTGTAAGAATTATATATCATGGGTGGGAGGGGGGGGCATCAGGATTTTAGAGATGCTTAGGTGGGGCATGGCCCAAAAAAGGTTAGGAACACTGCCTCTCCAGCGTGTGTGTGTGTGTTTGTGTTTTAGAATGTATTCTTAGCTGATCTAGTTCTGTCAACTATTTGTGGTTGGGTTTGATGTTTGCAGGCATGGAAGCAAATCCCCTTTCCCCCAGCCTTCTAGGAGGCTGACATGCAGTTTTTTCTACTTCTCCATCCCACTCATCTGAACACCATTCGTAGTCTTTCCAAATTCCTTTTCCTCATGGCATGCCCAAAATCCTATCCAGAAGCTTTCTCTCTCTCTCTCTCTCTCTCTCTCTCTCTCTCTCTCTCTCTCTCTCTCTCCACCTCTTTTCCTGCTCTGGAATAGCACTTCAAGCACCTCCTCCTGGGATTTTTATTGCTCAGAATTGTTCTAATTAGGCATCCCTCATCTTGGGCAGCCTTCACAGTTTTTGATTGAAACCAAAACCGTGATTGCCATTTTGAGAAAACGGCGTTCTTTAACCCTGTCCAATATCTGTACCTTGAAGACAAGAAATCGAGACAATTCCAGGCAGAGTGACAAATTCTCTCCCGTCTGCCAATTTGTCAAGTGCAAACATATTTTTTTGCTTTAGGCCACTCTAGTCGTTGCTGTAGCTCTCTCTGGGTTTCTGCCATCGTCCTCTTGCTCTCGCTGCAGTCTGGGCTTAACCATTGGTGAACCTTCCCTGCCATTGGTGGTTTCAATTAGTGGTTTTTCTCATTGGATGGGGTTTAGCAAGAGGTTCCCCGGGGCCCCCCACAATTCCAAGCACTTTCTCCCATTTTCTCTCCTCATCAATCCTTCCCTGTTCTCGGTCTCTGTCATTTTAATTTTTTTTTAAAGTAACATGTAGTTCTCCAGCCAAATGGAGAACAGCCAGCAGTGTACTGCCAGTTGCTTAACGATTGTCTGTCTTTTACTGTCCAAGGCAGACAGTAAAAATGGGTGGCTTGTGTCGATCAGCTGTTTGACTTTATTGTGCATTCAGAGATGCCTTACGGAAGGCAACTATAAATAGAAGAACCTTTGGCCAACTTTGCTTGACCTAGCGATGAAAAAGGAGGGTGTAAACTGCTGTAGATATAAAGGGAGGTGAAACTTCTCCATGTCAGACCTTGATCCCGATGGCTAGGCAGTTGGCATCTCTGTCTAGAATCCAATTCAAATGTTAGGTGGGAGAGATCAGGGCCACATAGGACATTCTAAATTAAAGTGATTTATTGCTTGTCGTTCCTATGCATGGGAATCTATACAACTAACGGTTAGCACTATCTTGGCATAAGATCAGGTTAAGAGAATTCAATAGGAGGTTGGACTTAAGTCTGTCTGTGGCTACATAGAGTCTCCAGGCTGATTCCTCTTTTGGCTCCATCCCTGACTTTATCAATGTTTCTCCTATATCCACCCTTCCTGAAGAAAAGTGTTGTTTGAATCATCCACAGCCAATATTACTGGACAGATTCTGCTTGGGCAGTCCCAAATGAGAATGGACACTAAAGAATAGAATAGAATAGAATAGAATAGAATAGAATAGAATAGAATAGAATAGAATAGAATAGAATAGAATAGAATAGAATAGAATAGAATAGAATAACAGAGTTGGAAGGGACCTTGGTGGTCTTCTAATCCACCCCCTGCCCAAGCAGGAAACCCTATACTATTTCAGGCAAATGGTTGTCCAATCTCTTCTTAAAAACTTCCAGTGTTGGAGCATTCACAACCTCTGGAGGCGAGTTGTTCCACTGATTAATTGTTCTAACTGTCAGGAAATTTCTCCTTAGTTCCAGGTTGCTTCTCTCCTTGATTAGTTTCCACCTATTGCTTCTTGTCCTGCCCCCAGGTGCTTTGGAGAATAGCTTGACTGCCTCTTCTTTGTGGCAGCCCCTCAAATATCGAAACACTGCTATCATGTCACCGCTGGTTCTTCTTTTCATTAAGCTAGACCTACAGAGGTGTCCTTTTCACATCCATTGAATCGTGATTCTCTCCCGATTACTTATTTATTTCTCTTAAAATCTGCAGGAAAATATGCATAACATAAATTAAGACACTAAGACAGGGGTGGCAACCTTAAACACTCAAAGAGCCACAAATGCCCTAACCAGAAGCCCCCCTGTTCAATTCTGGAGCCAACCGGAAGTCCGATTCCTCCCACCACAGAGTCTCCTCCTAGCACGGCGTCCTTTTTCCTCTACCTCTCCTAAATAAAGCCCTATCAATTGTGGAGCTGATTGGCAACAGGGAGCCGCAACAGAGAGATGAAAGAGCCACATGCGGCTCCAGAGCCACAGGTTGCTGACCCCTGCACTAAGACATTAAGACACTAAGACAAAGGCTGAGACTGAGACTAAGACTAAGATAAGACTTGAGCTGCATCATCCAGCTATGCTGTTCTAGTAACGGCAGAGATGATGTCCTGCTATGTCCCCCATTGCATTGGGTTGTTCTATTCAATAAGTCACCTTCTCTCTACAGTGAGCAGGCCAAACTGCCTCTCAAAATCAAGAAACAGCCACATGCAGATTTCAGTCTTTTCCTTCTCAATCAACCCTCTTATAGTAAAAAAGACAGACTTTGGCTCTTTTCTTTTCCGGCAGCATTGGGCAAAAAAGTGGCCTTCTAACCTACTTTAAGGATGATGAATAAACAGCCAATTTGGAGTCAAGAATGCAGCGAGTGGAATCTAGCACCATTCTAACCACACAGAGAAGCGAATTTAAATACGGCAATGATGGAAAGTTCTGTAAACATTATGCTCAATAATGTGTCCCTTTTAGTCTGATTTCTTTTTAAACTTTTGAATCCCAGTTAGAATCCTGTAGGCTGTGTTGAATTTCCCACCAGGCCCTTCTCATTTGGTAGTGACCAATGCCATTAATTCATGAAGTCGTTGCTTGGAACAGTAGGGCAAACTCTGTTAGGACAGAGAATTTCCAGTTCTTCTTGTTTATGTCTGGTTATTTTCCCCCCTCCCCCAATCTGTGTCCTCTTGCTCGTGTTCTTAGTGGCTTCTGCAACTGTCTGGTTTGAAAAGTTAATAGCAAAAAATAATATATTAAGAAGAAGAAAAAAAAAACCACATGCACATATTACTCATCGAGATTTCAGAAGGATCTATAAACACCACTGCTAACTTTTCAGAGTTCTGTGAATTCAAGGCAGACTCATATTTATTAAAAACACACAGAGACATATTTAGTCAATTAATCAATAAAATGAATCCACCTATAAATTCCCTACAATTACCCTCTTTGTATTCTGCTTTATTCATCTGCCTAGTCATGATTCTTCCAGAGAGTGGAATTAACAGCCAGATATTTTCAGTTCATTGAAAGGCATTTCTAAGAATTCGGCATTTCTGATCTCTGCAAAAGCTAGTTCTTTATAGTTTGATCTCTAATGGGATTCCTCTGAAGAAGTTCTGAGAACTTTCTTATTCATAGCTGGAGTTTTGTCAACTTGGAAATGGCCGAGTTTTATGATGTTAGGCGTTTGCTCGATGGGAATCCTTAGAGTCATAATTCTTCGCTTTGTTTCCAGCCGAAGGAAATAAATTCATTAAGATAAGCAAAGGTTTTCTAGCTTTATAACTGTCCTTGGAAAAAAACATGTTTGTGTGTGAATAAGTGCAGAGGCACCATTGACTTTAGCCAGGTTGAAGTTAGCGAGACTTGGGAAGTCAAAAACACATTGCAACAGAAGGCAGTGGCAAGCTACGTCCATCCAGCTGCCAGGAAAACAGCTGGATGCAGGCACCAGGAGTCTAGCTTTACTCATGAACTTTTTTAAAAAAAAATCTCAGAGTTTAGTCTGTCTGGGGAGCTGTGAAAAGAGAACAAAACAAGCCATATTCCAAAAAGATGCATGTGTGTCTTACAAAGAAGTAATACTGAGTTTCTGTGTTGTAAGATGCATGTATTTCTTGCAAAAGAGTAATTGCTAAGTTGCGTGTGTTGTTGTTGTTTTTTAATTCCCCAGGCATCCCTGGAGCTTCATTACTGTCAAAGGAAAACCTTTGTCATCTGTGGAAGATCATGTTGAATATCAAGGTAATCATCGAGATATATATGGTCATTAGAATAATGGCAGCTAAATTATATTGAGTGGCATTTTGACATAAGGCATTGGGTTACTTCAGGCATGATTTGAGGTCAGGTCTTATGTTGTCTGGGCATGGAGAACTTCCATTGGTTTTTTCCAGCCTTGTTGACTTTTAGATGGATGGGCTTCATGTCTCAAAATTCAGGCTGATCATTCTAAGAATAAAAGGCTACAGTTTTTAAATAGAGCCCAAATTCAGGAAGGATTGTGTCACCATATTTCTTGAGCGTGTAGAACTTGAAAGATGTAGGAAAATATAAGTAATTTATATTCCTTCCCCCTTGTCATTCTGCTGAATTTGCAGGCTGACAATCAATTTTGCTTAAGAGATGGATATAAACAATCGTGTCAATGTTGAGCACTTGCATTTAAAACTCTGCAGGTCCCTTTCATATATGTGTTCTAAATCTTCCAAAGAAATATAACAACTGAACTGTTGACAGCTTCTCCGTAACCAACTGCAGCTTTGGGGATTGCTAGGAAGTTCTTCTCTTGCTTCCCTTTTATTTTTTATTTTTTTTATTTTTTTATTTTTTTTTGCAGGACGCAAAGGTTCAGCTCTTGCCAAAGTATTCAAATTGTTCCAGGCTGAAAACGGAGAACGTTTCAATGTGTCTTCAACCAGTGAATGGGTTCAAGGTGAGGCTTTTCTTCTTTGGAGCAAGTTTGCAATGCAGTTCCCGGTGCAGTTGGAAATATTCCTCAACCCCAACATACAAAAAATAATCTAAGGCTGAACTACAACTCCCAATATAAAATAATAAATAAATAAATAAATAAACAAACAAACTTTATTGTCATTGTATGTGTATACACAGTATACCCGTACAACGAAATTCACTTAACACCCAAAGACCAGGTCCAACACACATAACAATCCCCAAACACACACACACACACCACAATTTCCCCGCCCCTAAACCACCCAAACATCCACACAACAGACCAAGTAATGCTGTCCTACAGCTCACTGATGGTGGCCCTTTAGTTCATTGTTGAGTGCAATTATAGCTCTGGGATAAAAAATGATTCAGAAAACGTGTGGTCCAAGTTTTAATTGTTCTGTACCTTCTGCCAGAAGGCAACAGTCCAAAAAGATTGTAAGCAGGATGGGAAGAGTCTCTGAGAATGTTATGCAACTTTCTCAAACAGCAAGATTCGAAGATGTTGTCCAGAGCTGGTAGCTGGAGTCTGATAATATTCTGGGCAGTTTTAATGGTTCTCTGTAGAGCTCAGCATTGGCCCTGATGTGTGCAGCATATCAGGGCCAATCCCTGAATTTCCATCTTTTGGTCCCAGAGTAGACAGGGGCATTACAAACTCTTTTGATGCTGCATAAAGGAACGGATAGCTTTGTTTCATCACAGCCAGGCCAGTGATGACCATCTAGTGACACACTGACTATAGGACAGTGATGGCTAATCTTTTTTCCCTCGGGTGCCAAAAGCGTGTGTGTGTGTGCTATCGCGTGCGTCTGTACCCACACTCATAATGCAATGCCCCCCATGCACACCCACTCCCCTGTGCATGCACGCACAATGCCCCCCCATGCTGCACTGCCCCCCTGCACAGGCACGTGCGACCCCCCCCCCATGCTACCCCATTTTCGCCCTCCCGGAGCCTCCACACGAGCCCTGTACTTACCTGGCATCCAAAATGGGCCACGTGGAGATTCCTGGGAGGGGTGGGGCTGCAGGGGCATGTGTGCGCATCACCCTCATGCACGGCAGAGACCCGGAAATCAGCTGGCCGGTGGGAGGCGCAGGGGCATGCGGGGTGGAGCTGATTTAGGGTGACAGCTCACGTGCCTGTAGAAATGGCTCGCCATCACGGCTGTGGGAAATGGCAATAGCACTTAGACTTATATACTGCTTCACAATGCTTTACAGCCCTCTCTAAGTGGTTTACAGAGTCAGCCTATTGCCTCCAACAATCTGGGTCCTCATTTTACCAACCTCGGAAGGATGGAAGAATGAGTCAACATTGAGTCAGTCAGGATCAAACTGCTGGCAGTTGGCAGAGTTAGCCTACAATGTTGCATTCTAACACGGTGCCAACATGGTTCAGGCAGCCCTCCAGCACCCATTTGTAGCACCCCCACAGAGAAAATAATTAAATTTGGAGATAAATTTAAATATGCATAGTAGCAATTGGCCTCAAGACAAATTCCCTCCTCCCTCCAAACACATCCAGTTTGCTTCTAGTGGCATGACCACATGGTCTTCTGCAGTCCTTCAGAAACTTGAGATGTTCCTCCAATCTCTCATAAGTTGTCCACTTTGCCCATACTAACCTTTGTCCATTTTGTCATGAGAGCCCTATTTTGTGACCTGTAGAAGCATTTGAAATAAACATAATTGAAGAAAAGAATATCTCTGATTGGCTAAAACACTCGTATTAATCTTTATTTAGTTATATTTAGTCAAACTATTTACTAAGTCTGCACTACTATTAATCTTCTCCTCGTTCCCACCACCCATCTCCTTCTACTTATGACTGTATGACTGTAACTTTGTTGCTTGTATCCTTACGATTTATATTGATATTGTTTCCTGATTGCTTATTTGTACCCTATGACTATCATTAAGTGTTGTACCTTAGGATTCTTGATGAACGTATCTTTTATTTTACGTACACTGAGAGCATATGCACCAAGACAAATTCCTTGTGTGTCCAATCACACTTGGCCAATAAAGAATTCTGTTCTGTTCTGTTCTATTCTTCATTCCAATATTTATTCTATTCTATTCTATTCTATTCTATTCTATTCTATTCTATTCTATTCTATTCTATTCTATTCTATTCTATTCTATTCTATTTTCTGTTCTATTCTATTCTATTCTATATTGTAATTAGAATCTCTGCAATATTATACTTTGAAATCTACAAGTAAACCATAAACGTTCCATCATGGACCCATTTATTTTGGTTTTGCCACGTCTCTTCTTCTCCAGCCTGTCTTTCAAAGGTCAAATATGTCCCATGGAAAGATTGGTTTCTCCTTTCATCATTAGCCTGATGTCCTTTGGGACACCTAACATCTGATGACCTGGAGAAAACACCAGGAGTGGGTAGCTTTTAAACAGATTTGCTAACATTTTTTTGGCACCGAGATTTAATGGAGCAGCACATTTTTCCAGCATTCGTTAAGGCCTGTTGTGTCCAAAATGACCTTAATTTGAGTTGTTTCCTTTTTTCCCCCCAGATGTTGAGTGGACTCAGTGGTTTGAGAAGCCAAAAATATCAAAATCCAAAGATGGAGAGAGACTCTCAGACTTAAGAGCTGCTCACCCAGAAATCTGCGATCATCCTGTGGATCTCCAGGTATGTCATATGTAGTAATCATCCTCTATCGTAGGGGGCCTTCAAAGTTGGCAAAATTAAGACTTGTGGACTTCAACTCCCAGAATTCCCCAGCCAGCCATATTGAAGTTGAAGTTCACAAGTCTTAAAGTTGCCAAGTTTACCTTAAAGTTGCTCTAACATTGTACCTGTTTTCCATAATTTGGTCCTCTCTTGTATTGCAAGTGATGGAAGCTTTGTTGATGATAGATTATTAATTTTTTTGGCTGATAGATAGTGGGTCTCTCTCCGGATAGAAATGAGAGAGAAATTTGCATGGTTTGCATTTGAAATCAAGTGTAATGAGGCATGAATGAATATGCGAAGCAAAACTTAAGCCTCATTTGAAAGTCACATTTCACCATTTTTCAACCCAATTTTCACTTTTCTTCTTAGAGAAACATCTCTAATATTCAAAATCTATATTTTTCAGGAAAAGGCGGTACTCAAATGCATATTGCTAGGGGGAAACGTCTTACAAAATTTTCCATGACAAAATTTCAAGTAAAAAGAATTGGAGAAATGACCCCTTAAACATACATGAACTTTATTTTAAAAAAAATAAATACAGTAGAATTCAACTTAATGGATCTGAAAAAAAAAAAGAAAAATGGGAAGACATTAAAAGCCACCCATCTGTACTTTCCAGTTGGCATTACCTGCGGGTCCAATCATTGTGTAATAAACTGGAAAATAGAAATAATTTCTTTTGAAGTTGATGGGACCTTTGGGCTTTGCGATGGACTGCCTTCTGCTCAATATTGGCACAGTGTATTGTTTTGCTCAGGTTGGTGTGTGTGAGATGAGTGGTGTAGAGCCAACATGAAAACACGTAAGAATGATGGATCCCAGCTTTTTGTGCCGTGATTGAAATTTGCTGTTTCAGAATAATAAAATAACAGAATTGGAAGAGACTTTGGAGGTCTTCTAGTCCAACCCCTTGTTCAAGCAGGAGACCCTACACCATTTCAGACAAATGACTGTCTAAACTTTCACCCTACAATATTTCATCCTACAGCTCAAGTGCCAATGCAGCCTGTACATAGAACACAGAATATAGAATAATAGAGTTGGAAGGGACCTCGGGGGTCTTCTAGTCCAACCGCCGGCTTGAGCAGGAGACTCTATGTCATTTCAGACAAATGGCTGTCCAGTCTCTTTTTGAAAGCTTTCAGTGATGGAACCACCCACAACTTCTGAAGGCAAGCTAAAATCCATTGGTTGATTGCTCTCACTGTTAGGAAATTTCTCCTTAGTTCTAGGTTGCTTCTCTCCTTGGTTAGTTTGCAACCGTTATTTCTTGTCTTGGCTTCTGGTGCTTTGGAAAATAATTTGATCCCCCTCGTTTATGTAGGAGCCCCTCAAATATTGGATCAGTGCTAGTCCTTCTTTTCTCTAGACTAGCCGTACCCAATTCCTGTAACCGTTCTTCATACCTTTTAGCCTCCAGCCCCCTAGTCATTTTTGTTTGCTCTTCTCTGCACTTTTTCCAAAATCTCAACTTCTTTTTTATGTTGTGCAAACACTTCCTTTACTCAAGTGACACTTTTAACAGTTGAAAATCTCTCTCCCCCAAACTATTATTTTGAGAGAGAGGGAGAGAGAGAGAGAGATCTTCATTAAATATCTAATTTTTAGTGGAACAAGGAAGAAGGCAATACGAGCAACATAGGACTCACTCTTTAGACCCTGGCTGCCATGTCTGATATTGATAATCTCTCTGTTTTGAAAAACCAACTAATTAAGAAAATTCCATTCTTCTGTCACGGATGGATCAGAAGCCATCAGGCTGCCAATCATAACAAATAATCCCACCATAAGCCATTTCATAATGATTTATCATCGTTTAAGAACGATGAGTCAAGTAATCTGCCCTGTTCCAAAACCGCTCCAAAGTTTTCAGAGATTTCCGCGAAGAACTTGGCACCGCTCAATAAAGTAAAGCAAATTCTTTAATACACCCCTGAGGGATGACACTTGAAAGAAGAGATTTGCCTCAAGCCATCAAAAGAGCCGTGGCCCACGGATTATTTTCATAGAGAGCAACCTGCTGCTTGTTATGTTGGACTCGCTCCTGGATAAACCTGGAATAGATTGTTATTCTGTCAGAATTGTTATGCTCTGCCTTCTTGCTGAGTTGTCTTCAGCACGTGGCTTTCAATCTGGGTGCCATTAGGCCTTTGAAACAAGTGGCAGCATGAAACCAAAAGACATTTGAGTCTATCAGGGCATTGGAGTCAAGAGATACTTGGATCAACATCTATGTTTTAAAAAAAAGAATTACAGATAGTCCTCGACTCTTAACCATAATTGAGCCCAAAATTTATGCTGCTAAGTGAGATATTTGTTAAGTGAGTTTTGCCCCTGTTTTACGACTTTTCTTGCCACAGTTGTTAAGTGAATCATTGTGTCAGGGTTCCAAGTAACACCCCCAACAAAATCAAACACACTGCAGTTGTTAAATTAATAACCCAGTTATTCATTAAATCTGGCTTTCCCCCTTGACTTTATTTGCTAGAAGGTCGCAAAAAGATGTTCACACAATCCAGGGACACTGCAACTGTCAAAAATATGAATAAGTTGCCAAGCAGCCAAATCTTGGTCAGGTGACCATGAGGATGCTGCCATGGTCATAAGTGCGAAAAATGATCGCAAGTCCCTTTTTTCAGTGACATGGTACCGTGTTTCCTCGAAAATAAGACCCTGTCTTATATTTTTTTGAACCCTGAACAGAGGTGGGTTTCAGCAGGTTCTGACCAGTTCTGAAATACGAAAGCTCCAACATTGGAAGTTTTGAAGAAGATGTTGGATAACCATTTGTCTGAAGTGGTGTAGGGTTTCCTGCCTAAGCAGGGGGTTGGACTAGAAGACCTCCAAGGTCCCTTCATACTCTGTTATTCTATTCTATAAGAAATAACTTATTCCCTGCCTTGAATTATTTATAAAAATAATAAAGGCTGGATAAAAAAAATCAAATCGATAAACAAAAGATAAAAGTCTTCACTGCAGGCAGATTATTTCTATATCAACTTAAAATAGAAATCTTGCAATATATTGAAAGAACCTGGGGCAATGAAAAGGCCTTTGGTTTGGGGTGAAAAACAGAAAAAGTCGGTGGCAGAACAAAAAAAATTCTCTCGTTCAGAAGAGCATTTGGGGGCCACCAGTAAAAAACAAAAACAAAAAACACATCCATTTTAAGTGTAAGGAACTTGCCTTGGAATGTTCTAGAGCAGGAGTCTCCAACCTTGGCAACTTTAAGACTTGTAGACTTCAACTTCTGGGCGTTGAAGTCCACAAGTCTTAAAGTTGCTAAGGTTGGAGACCCCTGCTCTAGAGCACAAAGCATCTAATGATGATCTTAAGATGGAGACATGAATGGGGTTTTCCACAACCGTGGTCCAAAGCCAAGAACTGCTTGATGGGCTCATATGATGACCTCAGAGACCTGGGAGGACCAGTGGAGGTCATGGAAAATATGAATTCTGTGTTGGTCATGGTGCTTTGAGTTGCCTCCGAGGTAAAATCCTCTTCCTCTGGCTCAACTCACTGCCATGATTTAGATAAGAAAGTTACCAGGCAGGAAAATGCTTGTTTTTCTCCTTCTCACAAGTGTTGCTAAGCCTATGGTTCTGGTTGTTGTTGTACGAGCTGTTATTCTTGATAATCATACGCTTGGCAATTATTGTGTTTGCTCCTCCCAGGCGGTCACACTTGAGGGAACGAAACTGGCAACTGAGGTCCTATACAAAAAAGGCCATGATTATAGGTTTTTTTGCCGTGGCCCAGAGCAGACGGAGAAAGGCTGTCATAACTACAGAGTGCGCTTCTTATGTGGCCAACCTGGTAGGTGACTCATTCTTGAAAGCTGAGCACAGTATAATTGGGAGGAAACTATTCTGAAATTTGCTCTACTGATCTATATATTTTGAAGGCAGCAAGATTTTACCTCAGAGACTTAAGTAGAAACGCAGATATATATATATATATTTTTTTGCACGAGTCTAAAACTTTTGGGGTTTCCTGCAGCCGCTTCTGTCCCACGAACGCTTTCTATTTCCAACTTGGCTTTCCATTCTCTGTATCGGGTTACTAGTCCTCATGCAGCTGTTGAAGTACGGAGCATATAAGGCCTGACTCTAAAAGGATACGGAACACGACAGAGTTCTGGGATGGCACAAAGGGCTAAACTATGGGTGCATTTGATTTTTTTTTTCTTTAGAAAAAAACTGCAAATGGAAAGCAAGTACAGCAAGGTGAAGTTTATGTTCAAGTCTCTTTCCCTGTCAGGCTAGCTTTCTACTTGCATGGAATATTTTTCTTCTGGGCATTTTGTTTTCTATGAATGGCACTCAACGGGCTACCTCTCCACACCAGAGGCCCTTCTGCTTCCTAGGGAGGTTGAATGGAAGACAGGGCAACCTTACACTGTTTTCCATGGCGGTGGCTATATGCAAACTCTGTGTGTATATAAATAACAAAAATAACGACAACAACTTCCTGATTATAATCATCAGCTCTATGTGGTAGATTGTACCTAAATAACAACAACAGCGTAGGTGCTACTTACTGTGCTTCCTGAATAAGAGGAAGACACACAAACTCAGCTTGTGGTTGACAACAGCTGTCTGATCTTTCCAAAACCCTTGTTTTATGAGTAAGAAACATGTTTAGGGCCCTGGAGAATTGGAGAAAGAGAACATGAGATGTTCCTCTGCGCTTCCTACCCTCACTCACTTCCCCCCCCCCTCCTTGTTGGCTTTTCAGCAAGACCCAAGCTTACCATGCAGGTAGATACCAACGTGAACAGTACAATCCTGAGATTGGCTGACAACGTGCAGTCGTGGAAGGTGGGAGACAAAATCGTGGTGGCCAGCACGGACTACTCCATGCACCAAGCTGAAGAGTTTGAGATCTTGCCCTGCAGAGCCTGTAAGCCCAACGAAGTCAAAGTGGCAGGTAAGTCTGAATGGCTCGTGTGTTGAAGGAGAGTGAATGTCCTGTGTTTGGGTGGGTATCTTTGGGGCTGAGAGTATTACTAAATATTAAGTTACCTAGCTGATCTCTTGTCCTCAACGTACAATAGCAATAACACTTAGAGTTATATATCACCCCATAGTGCTTTATAGCAGGGGTCTCCAACCCCCAGTCTGCAGACCAGCATTGGTTCGTAGCATGTCAGAAACCAGTCCATGCAAACAAGTGAAGCCCCATCTGTGGGATGCAGGCAGCACACAAAACAATGTCTTCTCCTGTTCTGCCCCAGCTACGGACCCCAAAGAACTCAGCACACACAAAGTCTGTACAAACCTTAGTTTACTAAATTAAATCAGTATTTTTTTCAAACAAAGACTGTTAATTAACTTTCTTAACAGCCTACAAGAATCCAAAGAATAAATAATTGCAATCTTACTATGGTTGGCAGAAAGCCCAGAAGCAATTTGCAGAGAACTAAGATCAAGACGCGAAGGAGAGTGAACGAAGTTGTTCCCTGCAAATTGCCTCAGTTGTCGTCCTTCCTTAAATAGGCTAAGGGAGTGGCCAATTAGCCAATTAGGAGGTCTCTTGAGGAGACCTCCTCCTGAGGAGCCACTCCTGCCTTTTGGCAGCTCTGCGCGCCTGTGCATCAAGAAGAGGCTCTTCCTCTTCTTCCTCTTCACTTATGGAAGCTTCTGAAGGTTTTGAAGGCCCTGGCTGAATCCCCGCCTTTGGCACCACATCTTCTCCAGCCTCCTCATTGTCCAACTCGAGTGCCAGCTACACAGGCTGCTGGTGCAGCACTACACCAGCCTCCTCGCTGTCGGAATCAGCTACTAGCTGCACAGGCCACTGACGGGCCACAACACCTCCAGTCCACAGAAAAACCTTTCTTCACAGAACTGGTTTGTTGGGGCCAAAAGGTTGGGGACCACTGCTTTATAGCACCCTCTGGGTGGTTTACAGAGAATCAGCCTATGGCCCCCAACAATCTGGGTCCTCATTTTACCGACCTCGGAAGAATGGAAAGCTGAGTCAACTTTGAGCCGGTCAGGATCGAACTGCTGGCAGTGGGCAAAGTTAGCCTACAATCCTGCATTCTAACCATTTTACCATCACGGCTCTTACAAGCACAATTGGGATCAGAGTTTCCATGGCTGAGCAGTTCTTAGGTGAGTCACACCTGATTTTATCACCTCCTTTGCTATGGTTAAGTGAATCACAGAAGTTGTTTAGCAAATCATGTTTTTGTTAAGGGGATCCGTCTTCCCCCGCTGACTTTGCTTGTGGGAAGGTTGCGATCACATGACCCCAGGATGCTGGTTGTTGCCAAGCACCCGGATTTTGATCACGTGACCATGGGGATGCTCCAAGAGTCATAAATCTGTGTTTCGGCCGAAATATTTAATAATTTTAAGGGATTTTTAATATTTGTATTGTCTGTATTTTATCTTGGCTGTTCACCGCCCTGAGTCCTTCGGGAGTAGGGCGGTATAGAAATTTGATTAATAAATAAAATAAATAAATAAATAAATAAATGCGGGGACAGGTCGCAAGTCCATTTTTTTCCAGTGCCATTGTAAATTCAGATAGCTGCTCAATAGATGGTTCTTAGTCAAGGACCACCTCACAAAACACGTAAATTGTCCATTTCTTTTTGGTTCTGTGCAAACATGTTTTGAAGAGAGGAAAAAAGGGGGAAAAAAAATAAGATGAGTGGCAGTGGAATGAACCATGCAAGAAGTTGGAGTTGGAGTTCAGAAGTCCATGTAGATATAAATTCCCATGCCAGGCAAATGGGTAAAAGGAAATACCTCCCTTATTTGAGATATTTCAGTTTTCCTATCTGCATGAGATTTGGGTTTTCCTGCCATGAGTGAGCTCTGAGATTTCCCTCCCCCCCCCAACTTTCTGTGAAGGATTCAATGCTTTTGATGCTTTACATCCGGACTTTGCTGAATTGAGACTCAGAGCAAAAGCAGACAAAGGGCTACAGAAAAGCAGGAAGGGTGGATCTGGGAAAGGGAGATCAAACAGAACCTAAAATCCCAGCCATTATCTTCAGATTTGTAACTACTTGGAGGTGAGGCTGCTTTCAGATCTGGGGAGAATCGTAGGTGGACAGAAATGATGCAATGCCCCTTTTTCATGTAAGAGATAAAACGGCAAATAAATTGGCAGGCAAAATGAGTCTGGTTTTTATGGAGGGCTGTTCTGTTTCCTGTTTGGCTTTGCAGATATCTAGGACTCTGAACTGGGTGACACAAAATGGATTATCCATAGATTTCTTCGAAGGTTTACCTTAAATCCATGGGAATCCTAACAGTGTGTAGAAAGTGTATGGGATGTCTGAAGTCAGATGGAAGGTTTACATGCCTCAATTTTCTACTGTGTCTTCTTTAAGAAGGAATAATGCCAGTTTAGGGGGGGACGTAGTGGCCTAGCGGTTAAGGCTTGTTGACCAGAAGGTTGGCAGTTCGAGACCCAAGTACCACATGATGGGGTGAGCTCCTGTTCCTTGCTCCAGCTCCTGCCCTCCTACAGTCCGAAAGCATGCAAATGCAAGTATATAAATAGGTGCCACTTTGATGGGAAGATAATAGCATTCCTTAGATTCAGCATATAGTCATGCCAACCACATGACCATGGAAGCATCTTCAGACAATGCTTGGCTCTCTTGGCTAGGGAAAGGAGATGCATCTAGGATCAGACACAACTGGACAGGGGAAACTTTTACATTTTTTTAAAATAGCAGTTTTGCCCTTCAGAACAGGTTGAAGTTCAAGACACATCCATAGTTGTGTTCACTCAACATACTGAAGGAAATCTAGTTTAGCAGATCCATTTGCACCCAATTCTTCATTTAGATGGAGAGCTTTGTGGCTGGGCATATTGTGAGAATTCGGCTCATATGGTTGGCTTATCATTCATTGCCTTGTGAAAATAGATTAGTTTGGAAACCAGGTTAAGACATGATCATGCAATGAATGCAGACGGGTAGATAGGAAGTAAAGCAAGCAATGAGTAGCGCTTATTATAAAGATAAATATCTGAAATGTTTTGATTACTATGAGCTACTTCCTCAGAATGTGTGGTTCAGAAAATTCCATACTAGGATGGCACGTCTCCAGATGGATAATTTAAAAAACTTTTTTAAAAATTGATTTATGTTCCGGCCTGAAGTTTCACAGCAACATGCCTTTTGCAAAAGCCTTGTGTGATATCATGCTCCGGATCTTCGAAAGTTGTTCCTAAAAAGTTATTTTTAGTTTGATGAAAGAAGAAAGCGATGAAGTACCTGACTGGAGAATCCTCACCTTAATGATATTTAATTTTAACAAATTAAATGCAAACCGGGCCAATCTTTAATTTTGTCTGGTCCAAACCACTGCTTTTGTAGAGTATGATTACTGGAATACCACTCCAAGGCTAAATTTTGATCTTCAGCCTGGGGAAAGTGATGCAGCCCTCTAACTTATCTTCTCAGATTCTCCAAATGCAAAATCTTTTACGTGCATTTAAAAAAAAAAAAAAATTAACAGCTATTAATCTAAATTGCTTAAGAATAAACCTTTGAGGAAGTCTATTAATAATATACACACCAGCCAGGTCTATATAGCGCAAAGTAAGTGTCCTGCATATGGACAAATCTCATCCTCCAGAATTTCCTAGCTGGACTGGCCAGTCCCTCGAGAATTCTGCAAGGGATTGGTGAAATCCAATAGAAAGTTTTTTGCACCATCAGAAGATTTAAATACATCTGCAGATCTTTTACAGATTTGGAAATACCAAAGTGAAATTGCTTGATCTTCTGTATTCACAGGAAAGGCTTTTCTGGTGTACCGGGCTTCACCCTTAAATATAAGAGCTTGCTGTTCTGGATAAGATAATTTTTGTCTCATTGTGTACTGTATAGTTGGCAGCTTCCTGCGACTATTATCTAATGCAAATTGGCCTGTCTTTGATGTGTGTTTCTCAATGTTATGTGCATAAGAGTCCTGCCGTTGTAGGTTTCTTCTGCATTATTCATGTAAAACCTTTCTTGGAATCCTGTGACTTCTGGCTCCCTCTCTTCTCCCAGGCACGTGGGTTGAGCCACATTTAAAATGTCAAGATTGTGCCGCCCAAAATTTAAGGCCAAAAAACCACTGATAACCGACACGATGCTATCAGATACAATCAGATCAAAACACAAATTGCTTTTCAGCAGCTGTTACTGAATAAATTAAGATTCTACTCCTTTCTTTAAGACCAAGCATGAATAGTTCAAAACAACCCACTTGCATGGAACAACCAGACCAAAAACCTGAATAACAGAGTTGGAAGGAACCTTAGAGGTCTTCTAGTCCAACCCCTTGGACAAGCAGGAAACCCTATATCATGTCAGATAAATAGCTGTCCAATCTCTTCTTAAAATCCTCTGGTGTTTGAGTACCCACAGCTTCTAAAGACAAGCCTGATTAATTGTTGTCACTGTCAGGAAATTTTTCCTTAGTTCTAGTTTCTTAGTTCTAATTTCCATCCATTGCTTCTTGTCCTGCCTTCAGGTGCTTTGGAGAATAGATTGATCCCCTCTTCTTTGTGGCACATTTTCTTTCTGCAGGACACACACATTTTGAAATGTGAAGTCTGGGGAAATGTTTAGGAAGGAAATTAATATTTTGCCCTCATTATTTTCCCTTTCCTTCTGATTCAGTTCTTTCAGCAAAAGCCTTTAAGTAGTAAAAAAATGCTTCCTTCCGCTTTTCTTTTGCATTCACCTCTTTAATCAGTTCTTTCAGAGGTGATCTTAATAAGCAGGAGCCACACATATTTTGTGTAAAAATATTTAATAACCCATTATGGATCAATTTCCTTTTATTCTAAGAAAAAAAACATCAAGCTATAAGGCCTTGAGTGATGCAGATTTTACAAAACCTGCAGAATATTGAAAAATCTCTCCGTGCTACTTCATGAGTGTTGTTTTGTGTATCATGAATTACATGTCATTTATTCCATTCAACATTTAATCTGAATATTGAAACAACGTGAGATTCCGTGCAGATCTCAGCTAAGCAGAAGGCTTGAATTGGTCTTCAAGGACGAAGAAACAAAAACAAAACTAGAGGCATAATTATAAAGAGCCTTAAGTCAGATCCAGGAGAAATGCAAACACACCATCTCTCTCCAGCTATTTCTCGTGGGTATCCAAAGCTGCTCATAGATGTGGTCGGATTATTTAATGCAGGACACCGTGCACAGTTCTAGCTACCGCTCTGATGGCATCACTTCTAAATAAACTCATTTTTGCTGCGGGTACATTTGCCATCAAACAAGGCAATTCCTTTAAAGTTAATGGCTGTGGTAATAAACATGGCATCACCGTTTCTGAAGGAGAAAAACATACCTAGCCAAACTTAACCTCAAACCACCCGTAGTTGTTTCCTTATCTCGGATCATGTCAAATCAGCAAAAAAGCACTTTGTGTAAACAACGTCCATACATGATGAGATGTCAAGGAACCTCTTGCTACACATTCAACATTCTTGCCACAACATTCTTAGCAGGTCTGGGCAGAGAACTCATGAAAGCTGAAGCCAGCATAAAAAACATTTGCAGCTTCCAGGTGGATGTTTTATAATTCACTTCTCTGGATCAGGGCGGTGGGTGTCTGAGCAAAGAACCATCATCCAAAGAGAACAGATTGCTTGAGATGTTTTTGAACTTTTGGCATCATTCATTCAGATAGAGTTTTGGGGTAGTTATTGTTGTTGTTGTTGTTGTTTTAAAAAAATCATCTTGTTACCCTGCAAGCAAAGTCACACAAAACTCACTGGTCCCGGTTGCCATGGAAGTACAGATAAGTCCTTGAGTTGTAACTATTCATTTGGTGACCATTTAAAGTTGCGATGGTAATGAAAAACGGTGACAGTTTTTCAAACTTCACGACCGTGGTCCCGTGATCAAAATTTGGCTGCTTGGAAACTGGCATGTACTTGTGACGGATGCAATGTCCTGGGATCATGTGATCACATTACGTGACCTTCTGAGAAGCAGAGTCAATGAAGAAGCCAGGTTCACTAACTTAACAATTGTAGTGTTTCACTTAACAAGTGTGGCAAGGAAAGTTGAAAAATGAGGCAAAACTCACGTAACAACTGTCTTGCTTAACAACAGATATTTTGGGCTCGATTGGGGTCGCAAATCCAGGATTACCTGTATAGAGAGAGGCAGAATCAAATAGTTATATGGTAAAATGTGGTAAGGCTCTGATAGCTCTTCATGATCTAGGCATAAATCTTGGGGTTTTTTGGTGTGCGTATGGGTGTGTGTTTGGAAAACAATAAAGAGATTCAGTTTATTAAGAACAATGGATATGCCCATCCTTTGCTGCTTCTCGCCTTCTTCACAAGACATCCTGGCACTTCCCAACTTTTAGAAAAGGTTCCTGGCCATAGCAATAGCACTTAGAGTTATATACTGCTTCACAGTGCTTTCCAACCCTCTCTAAGCGTTTTACAGAGTCAGCATGTTTGCCCCCCACAATCTGGGTCCTCATTTTACCCACCTCGGAAGGATGGAAGGCTGAGTCAACCTTGAGCCGGTCAGGATCAAACTGCTGGCAGTTGGCAGATTTAGCTTGCAATGCTGCATTCTAACACTGTGCCAACATGGTTCAGGATCGAACTGCTGGCTATGGGCAGCCTGTAATAATGCATTCTAACCATTGAGGGACGAAGGAAGGAAGGAAGGAAGGAAGGAAGGAAGGAAGGAAGGAAGGAAGGAAGGGGAAGAGCAATAGCACTTAGACTTATATACCGCTTCACAGTGCTTTCCAGCCCTCTCTAAGTGGTTTACAGAGTCAGCATATTTGCCCCCAACAATTTTTGGTCCTCATTTGACCCACCTTGGAAGGATGGAAGGCTGAGTTAACTTTGAGCCTGGTGGGATTTGAACTGCCAAATGGCAGGCAACTGGCAGTCAGCAGAAGTAGCCTGCAGGACTGCGCAGACTCTAACCACTGCGCCACCACGGCTCACAGGTTGATCATGCTGATCTATTTCCTTGTGAACCTCCCTCATTACGTTAATCTTGTCCCCTTTGTGACACCCTGAATGTTATATTTTCCCCTAGGAAAAGCCAACTACCTTCACACAGGAGAGATAATTGACGGAGTTGACATGCGAGCGGAAGTCGGGCTGCTCACCCGGAACATTCTGGTGAAGGGAGAGATGGAGAGGAGATGTTACAATTATAATGCCCATCTGTGTTCCTTCTTCGATTTTGATACTTTTGGTGGCCACATCAAGGTACGCCATGTAGCTCCATTGGTTCACTTGCTTGGCTGAGAGAGGTCTTCTCCGTATCAAGAGCATAAAATAACACGGGAGAGATGGCAAAATTGACTGCTCTGCTTAAAGACTTTTGCTAGCTCTGTTTCTAACCCCTTTGGGACTTTTTCCTCGAAATGGAAAGACATGGAATTTTTAATTTTGGAGCTGGATGACCAGAACTATTTATGACTACAGACCAGAGATGGGTTTCAGCAGGTTCTGACCAGTTCTGGAGAACCGGTAGCGGAAATTTTGGGTAGTTCGGAGAACCGGTAGAAAAAATTCTGACTGGTCCCGCCCCCATCTATTCTCTGCCTCCCGAGTCCCAGCTGATTGGAAGAAATGGGGATTTTGCAGTATCCTTTCCCTGCCACGCCCACCAAGCCACGCCCACCAAGCCATGCCATGCCCACCAAGCCACACCCACAGAACCGGTAGTAAAAATTTTTGAAACCCACCACTGCTACAGACATAGTGTGTGCTATGGTTTACTCAAGTTCAAAGGGACATTCCATTTCATGCGTGTATCTGTAATGAAGAAAGTTGGAAGTTCTTTTTTTAGCTGCCCTGAGTCTTCGGAGAGGGGCGGCATATAAATTTAATTAATTAAATTAAATTAATTAATTAAAATTAAATTTTCTTGTAGCTTTTTTCATCCTTTTTTTTGTCTGCATCCTCCAACTTGGCTTTTTTCCCTATAACACAAAAGTGCCAGTATTACCATCTTCCAGTCTGGAATGGTTAGAAGGCCCGGATGACAACTCCCAACCTCTTCAACCCTCCTTGTAGTCCAGCACATCTGGAGGGTGCCAGCAGTCTAAAATCTACAATTAACTTATATTATTGCAGCCTGAGCTCCAGTAGTGCTCAAATCCAGTAGGGTTTCAAATCCTGTTGCTACCAGTTTGCTTGTGGGCATGCGCAGAGACGTCCAGGAGGGTGGGCGGAGTCTGATCCGGGGTGAACCAATAGCAACCCACCACTGCTGAGCTCAATTCTTTCCTTGGCTTCCAATGGACTTCTGGGAGAATTAAGTCCTTGCTTAATTTGTTTTCCCTTTAAAAAAATCCTCATTATTTAAAATGACTTAATTTGACCTGGATCAGTGGTGGGTTTCAAATTTTTTTACTACCGGTTCTGTGGGTGTGGCTTGGTGGGCATGGCATGGCTTGGTGGGCATGGCTTGGTGGGTGTGGCAGGGGAAGGATATTGTAAAATCTCCATTCCCACCCCAATCCAGGGGAAGGTTACCGCAAAATCCCCATTTCCTCCCAATTAGCTGGGACTCGGGAGGCAGAGAATAGGTGAGGGTGGAGCCAGTCAGAGGTGGTATTTACCGGTTCTCCGAACTACTCAAAATTTCCGCTACCGGTTCGCCAGAACTGGTCAGAACCTGCTAAAACTCACCTCTGACCTGGATGCCCCTTGACAGTGTGCAGTGGCTGTATGTTTATAATCTTACCTAAAGATGCAAGTTCAGAGATTTTCATTCCATCTTTTCACTGAGTTATCTCTGTTCTCTAGATTGGACTTGGATTTAAATCGGTCCACATGGAAGGCGTGGAGCTGAAGCACATGGGCCAGCAGTTGCTGGGACACTACCCAATTCATTTCCACATGGCTCAAGATGTGGATGAGAAGGGAGGCTACCAGCCCCCTACCTACGTGAAAGATATGTCTATCCATCACACCTTCTCTCGTTGTGTCACGGTGCATGGCTCCAACGGTTTGTTGGTAAGATGCTGGGATTTGGGTCTTCTATTGCTGGAAAGATGAGATGGTATCAGGTAGAGAGAAATTGATGGGTTTTCTGCCTTTGATCTTATTATGCATCCACTAAAGAGAGGGGACGGGAAGATAAAACTTTCCTTGAGATGATCTCAGCTGCTGCTGGTTTCGTAGACCATCAATATTGTTTTCTTGGTAACAATTCTAGATTGGTTGACATTTCCTTTTTCAAGGATTTCTTTTTTTTTAAATATCCAGTTCATTTGTTGCAAGGTAGGCTGCATCCTGCTTTATTTATTTATTTGTTTATTTATTTATTTATTTATTTGTTTATTTGTTTATTTGTTTATTTATTTATTTATTTATTTATTTATTTATTTATTTATTTATTTATTTATTTATTTATTTATCAAATTTCTATACCGCCCTACTCCCGAAGGACTCAGGGCAGTGAACAGCCAAGATAAAATACAGATAATATAAATATTAAAAGTCCCTTAAAATTATTACATATTTTGGCCGAAACACAGATTAAAACACCCAATTTATAAAATCAAACGAATTAAAGATTTAAAAGAGGAGAGTTAGGCCAGGCCAGCCTGCTGAAATAAAAAAGTTTTGAGAGCACGACGAAACGTGCGCAGGTCCGGGATCCTCCGTATCTCTGGGGGGGAGCTCGTTCCAGATGGTAGGTGCCCCCACAGAGAAGGCTCTCCCCCTGGGGGCCGCCAGTCAACACTGTTTGGCCGACGGCACCCTTTTGAGATTAGCCAAGCTATGTTCTAAGAATTGCCACTTGCAAGGTGAGTCTAGTGCAGGTAATATTTAGATGAAGGATTGATGATCCCTTTTGCATTCTCAAAACATATTCTAGGCTGTCGTGTCAGCCACGATGGGACCATTCCCCATTCTTCTTCTCATCAAGAGGCTCCCTACTCCATTAACTTTGTCCCCTTTTGGGGTGGGGGGTTAATATATTTAGAATGAATGAATAGGGTAGAGCTGGAAGGGATCTTGGAGGTCTTCTAGTCCAGCCCCCTGCTTAAGCAGGAGACCCTATACCATTTCAGACAAGTGGCTGTCCAGCCTCTTCTTAAAAACCTCCGGTGATGAAGCACTCACGATTTCTTAAAGCAAGTTGTTCCACTGGTTAATTGTTCTCAATGTTAGAAAGTTTCTCCTTAATTCCAGGTTGCTTCTCTCTTTGATTAGTTTCCAACCATTGCTTCTTGTCCTGCCCTCTGGGGATTTGGAGAATAATTTGACTCCCTCTTCTTTGTGGCAGCCCCTCAAATATTGAAATACTGCTAGTCCTTCTTTTCTCTAGACTAGCCAAACGCAAAACCAGAGACACTACCAGGTAAACCTGCTGTCATATGTTGTATTCTCTGTTTGGAAGCAAACTTAACCTCAAGTGTTGAAAGCACCTGGTTAGGTCAGGCTTATTGGCTAGTTGCTTGCTGCCAAATTAATATATATATTAATTTGATTTATATGCCGCCCTTCTCCGGAGACTCAGGGCGGCTTACAATGCGCTAAGCAATAGCCTTCATCCTTTTGTATATTTATACAAAGTCAGCTTATTGCCCCCACAACTGGGTCCTCAATTTACCTACCTTAGAAAGGATGGAAGGCTGAGTCAACCTTGAGCCTTGGCGAGATTCAAACCTGCAGTAATTGCAGGCAGCTGGTCTTAATAACCAGCTTAATAACAGGGTGCCTTAAACCACTGTACTACCAAGGATCTTCTATTTATGGCTGTTGGACTTGTTTTGCACCGTCGTGGATCGCTGATGTTTTTGTTTTGCCTCTGATAGCTGCCCCAGGTCATCACAGCAAGGTGGATCAGCATATCAATTGCTTAAGTAAAAATAAATTAAATACAAGTTGCAGGTGGCGTGTCTATGAGTCACAGGCACGAGCCAGCCTCAGGATGAAGGCCGCAGAGTTACCTACACTGAAATGGGAGTGAGCTTAGGCAAATTCAGTTGGGTTGGCTTGCAGATTAGCTCGCAAGGCATTCCCAGAGGGGCTATTCAAAAGGCAACTGGACTGTCGTGATTTTTGTTTTTCCCTTGAAAACCTTTTGCTTTTCATCCAAGAAGCTTCGAAACATTTTCAAGGGAAAAAAAACCAGAAGAAAGTATCTTTTGCTTTCTGAAAAGCATCTTTGGGACAATGATGACCTGGAGGATTGTGACTCTCCATGATAGATAGATAGATTGATTGATTGATTGGTTCGATTTATATGCTGCCCTTCTCCGGAGACTCAGGGTGGCTTACAATGTGTTAAGCAATAGCCTTCATACTTTTGTATATACCTGCTTAGTAGGGCTTTCGCCCCGCACCCCCAAGCGGTGTTCTTTTTTATACAAAGTCAGTTTATTGCCCCCACAATCCGGGTCCTCATTTTACCTACCTCGAAAAGGTTGGAAGGCTGAGTCAACCTTGAGCCTGGTGAGATTTGAACTTGCAGTAATTGCAGGCAACTGGTGATACTTAAAAGCACTTTAGTCTGCTGTGCCACCAAGGCTCGGTTGCAAGACCCTTGCAAGGAATTGCCCTTCTGTATAAGGAGAATTGCAACTATTTGGAGAAGCCTCTATTCCAGGGGTGTCAAACTCAAGGCCCGGGGGGGGCTGGATCCGGTCTGCGGGGTGCTTAGAACTGGCGCATGGGGCTGCCCTGGAAACAGTGAAGGACTGTCCTGCGGTGCCTCTGCCAGAGAAAATGGAACTCTGTTTTTGCTGGCAGAGGGCTGCAGGGAGCCGTGGCAGCCGAAAACGGAGCCCGGGATCCCGTTTTCACTGGCAGAGCTCTTGGGACACCACAGGCACCCCAACATGAGTGGTGTTGAGCTGGCCATGCCCCCCTGTCCCCCCCGAGGCCAAACACAACCCTGATGAACCCTTCAGTGAAATCCAGTTTGATACCCCTGCTCTATTCTACCAAAAGAACAAGGCTGCTCTCAAACGTAAGAATTCCTCTTGCATTGGGTCAAATTACGAGTTCGTCTCTAGCCCGATGTTGTTAACACTATTGTCAGTCATGTCCAGTTTTTCCAGCCATCCTTGCACATAAGGTAAAGGTAAAGGTAAAGGTTCCCCTCGCACATATGTGCTAGTCATTCCCGACTCTAGGGGGCAGTGCTCATCTCCATTTCAAAGCCTAAGAGCCAGTGCTGTCCAAAGACGTCTCCGTGGTCATGTGACCAGCATGACTCAATGCCAAAGGCACACAGAACGCTGTTACCTTCCCACCAAAGGTGGTCCCTATTTTTCTACTTGCATTTTTTACGTGATTTTGAACTGCTAGGTTGGCAGAAGCTGGGGCAAATAATGGGAGCTCGCCCCATTACGCGGCACTAGGGATTCGAACCACTGAACTGCCATCCTTTCGATCGACAAGCTCAGCGACTTAGCCACTGAGTCATTGCGTCCCTTCCTTGCATATACTGAGGACCAAATTTTACAGGGATACCATCAGTGGTAGGATTCAACCAGTGTAACAATTTGTTTGCTGAGCGTGCGCTGAGCACGCCCATGCTTCCATGCGCGCTGATTGCGCACTAAGCATGCGTGCGCAGTCCATCAGAAAACACCATTAAAAGCAGTGTTATAAGCACTAAAAACAGCTGAGGCCCGGCAATCCGCTCTGCCACGCCTATCAGCTGGGCTTCAAACAAACAAAGGTAGGTATAGCGCAGGGGCAAACGGGTGGGCCTAGCTGACGGTTGGAGCGAACCGGTTCGCTATCAGCTGATCGTTGGACCAACCGGCTCGCCCAAACCGGACCGAATAGGCTGAATCTCACCCCTGAATACCACCAAATGGCAATCTTCCTATTACAGCAGAACTGTTACCAGCCTTTTGGTCCAAAGAAGGAGGTCTTTTTCAGCTAGTCTTTAACTACACGGATTGTCTGCACAGGCAGCAAACAGTGCTAATGGGGCAGTTTATCTGGTGTGAAAAATACCACATATAACTGAAACCCACCCACCCCCATACCCCCAACCCAGGAGAGTCCCGTAAATCAGTCTGGGCTTCCTGTCATCCATACCAGTTAAAATGTAAAACGTTGCTCTGGTTATAATTGAGGTTTTAAAATGCCCTGCGTTTCTGCTCTCCTCATTACTATCCTAAAGATTGTGGCACCCTGGCGAAACCTGCCGTCTTCGCATTCTGGCCCTGAGAGTTATGGGCAGCGATGTTGATATTTATGGCTGCGGGGGCCGCAAGTTCAGCCAGAAAACATTGATATGCTCTATATATGTAGTGGAAGCGGTCCCTGGGTGTAACATTTAATGAAGCCTGGCAAAGGGCCTGCCAAAGGGAAGAGGTTCCAGATGCATTGCGAGGCTGACCAACTGTGGCCGTTATTGCATCTGGTAGTGGGTAATTCCATTTTTAATTCATGGCTCTGGCTTTAATGGGAGAAAAAAAGCCCATCCCCGTTCCTTTGGCTGATTTTTAGGCATTGGCTCGTTTATACATTCTCTGACTTAAAGCCATGTCTTCTTTCGGGCACATGATGCTCGAAGGATTGAAGGAAGAGGGGGAGGGGGAGAGGGTTAGAAGAGAATTAAAGCCACTATCCTGATCCAGTTTATAGCTATTATAATTTACTGCATGATACCTTATGTTGGTGAAGGAAAAGCTTCTTCTAAGTAGCTGCTTTGTAAGATAAAGGAATTGGATTCCTTTAGCTGCCATTCAACAACTGCAGGTTTTTGTGTGGAAGTTTCAAGATTAATACAGTAGGATCCTCCTCCCCCCCTACCTAATTATTTGGGATATAAACAAATAATTTCTCAGTGTAACAAGTGCAGCAGACATAACCCATCAGGAATAACTGATAAGCATCAAGACTGTGTGTGTGTGTGTGTGTGTGTGTGTGTGTGTGTGTGTGTGTGTGTATGTTTTCTGAGGTTTTCGCGGGTGTTTGTATGTAGGTCTTTGGTTATTCGGGTTTTCTCCCGCGTAAAATTGGAGGTGTCTTGGCACCTCCAATTTTACTCAGGAGAAAACCCGAATATATATATATATATTTCTTTTAGCCAGGTTTCTCCTACGTAACCAAGATTTTTCTTTCTACAGCCCTAGCTCAGTGGAGTCACATCCACTCGATTCTGGGCTTTTTTCTTCTGGCAGCCTTCTGACGTAGGAGAAAACTGTTTCGCATTGCTGTTGTTTCGCGAAGCCAAACAACAGCAATGCAGCTCACCAGCTCAAATCCCCCTGCAACTCAGACTAACACGAGCACAACCAAGCCCCCATCTAAACAGAACACCCCCCCCAGCCAATCAGAACACAGCCAACCCCCCATCCAATCAGAGCACAGCCAAACCCCTAACCAATCAGAACACACCTCCACCCAATCAGAACACAGCTAAGCTCCCACCCAATCAGTTCACACCCCCACTAGCAGTTAAAAGGAAGAAACAGCTGCGATCTCACATTGCTCCTAGAAGCACGAAGCCGAAAACACCAGCCTGAAGATGACGAATGAGACTTCGTCGAAACGTCGCTAAGACACTTCCAATTTTATGCGGGAGAAAACCCGAATAACCAAAGACCTACACACACACACACACACACACACACATATATATATGTGTGTGTGTGTGTGTGTGTGTGTGTGGGTTGTGGCCCGCCAGCGGTCTGCGCGGATCGTGGCTGATCCCGATGACGAGGAGGCTGGTGTGGTGTCGCGCCAGCAGCCTGTGCAGCCGGCACTCGCGTCGGTCAGCGAGGAGGCTGAAGAGGATGTGGTGCCAGAGGCAGAGACTCAGCCAGGGCCTTCAGAACCTCCAGAGGCTCCTTCAAGTGGAGAGAGCGAAGTGGAGGAGCCTCTCCTCAATGCTCAAGCACGCAGGGCTGACAAAAGGCAGGAGTGGCTACTCAGGAGGAGGAGCTCTCTTCGAGAGTAAGGCTTGAGGATAATTGGCCACTACCTTAGCCTATTTAAGTCACACGCCGTTAGTAAGTTTCTTGCTAGAAACAACTTGTAATTATCATCAGAGCATTTTTTGGAAAAGTCTTATCATATCTTGGTTTCTGGGCTGGTTGCCAACCTTTGCTGGACTTTGGTTTATTCTTGCTACTTAATAAATTTGATAAGGACCGTTGGTGTGTTTCAATATCCTCGGGAATCCGGAGCTGGGGCAGAACAATATATAAACAAGGCATTACACTTTGGGATTATGTGTTGTCAATGTAATGTGAAGGATTATTCATTACTTACGTATCTATGTGGCAAGAAGGGAGATTAATAAATGTCAGCAAGGAGTGGGGGGTTGGAATCTGCAAATAGCTGAAGCCATATAGCATAACAGTGAAAACAAAATACAAGCCCAGCACAATATGTACCTAATCTTGGAACATCTGTAGCATAATACAAGAAAACTCCAAAATCTGCTGCCAAAATATAAAATACAGAAAGAGGACAGTATGTTTGGGGCAGGGTTTTTCTGCATGCATCTAAAAATAACAAGCCAAGCAGATGTGTTAAGCCTCTATTAAATTTAATGTCTGAGCCTTCTTTTTTTTTTAAAGAAATTTTTTATTTTTAAAACAAACAAAACATAAAAAATCCATCATTCATTACAATTGCAAACAGTGTGTCGATTGGTTACAAGTCTCTTGTGCTTCATCCCCAAGTTCATATTTTACTAATTGTCTAATTTCTCATATTGTCAACCCAATATATATCTTTGTGTTATTAACCTCATTTGTTATCCAACAATGGCAATTATTCCGAAAAGAACAAAAAATATTTTCACATATTATATTGTAACATACATTTTATGTATCATATTTCAGTTCCATGTTTTAGTATCTAGCCATTGATAGAATAAATCCCATATCATATAATATTGTTTATCTTATTGTTCTCTAATTTCAAATGTCAATTTACTCATTTCAGCACATTCCATAATTTTCTTAATAACTTCATCTTGCGTTGAATGTCTGAGCCTTCTTGAAGCTGTGTACTTCACACACTTTTGTTGAGAGGAAGGCTTGTCCTTGGAGCATCCTGGGCTCAGTTCCATCCATCTTCTTGCTGTTTTTGTCCGTTCAGATCAAGGACGTGGTTGGGTATGACTCGTTGGGTCATTGCTTCTTCACTGAAGATGGGCCTGAAGTACGTAATACCTTTGATCACTGCCTTGGACTTGTGGTGAAACCAGGCACTTTGCTACCGTCCGACAGGGACACAAGAATGTGCAAGACCATTACTGAAGATGCTTATCCAGGATATGTCCCAAAACCTAGACAGGATTGCAAGTGAGTAGAGAAACATTTCATTTAAAAAAAAAAAATCTCTGGCTTACAGAATGTTGCATGGCTCCCTGAGCATACAAAGAGAACTCATAACCAAATGAAATTCCGTTCTTTTACTTGCATGAAATAGCTACCTGAACATTGGGCCCCAAAAAGGCATTTTCCATGAGACCAAATCAAAAACATTCAAATTCTTTTGCTCTCCAGTGGGAGAATAGAAGGGCGCACCTAACTTGACCCAGCTCCCCAAACATGACAAACCCTGTGAAGTTAACTCAAAGATTCCTTTATTAGGAGAGCTGGCAGCCCCGGCAACAAGTTTCTCTTTCACTGCAGGCTAACAAGTCTGTTCGGTCAGAAGACGATTAGATGTCTGCCACATCTAATAATCTCCACCCCCTGCCTTTTATCCCCAGAGCTAGGTGGGCCGATCCATCCCAAGGATTGGCCCACGGATTTCCACTGCTCTCCTCTCCTCTGCCTTCTGCACATCCACGCATCAGGCACTGGACCCAGCTGTTCCTCCTCTTCTGCATCAGCCACCTGCAGACCTGGGGGCTGTTAACTCTCCATATGAGGGCTGATGGATAGCCCAGGCTCCGCCTCCATCTCTCTCTCTCAGCCAGCTCCATTCCCTCTTCCCCCTCTGAGTTCTCAGGTTGCTTTGATGCCGACTCTCCCACGCCTCCTCTTCCTCCGATTTGGCTGCTGGAGGGCCCAGCATCCAACGGGCCACAACAACATCTAATTCATCATTCCTATTAAAAATGCCTGGAAAACAAAAGGCCTAGCTATTATTTCGGACAAAGATTTAACTTTTCATTCATGTTTTCCATACTCTTTGTTGAGGCGGTATCACACATACATTATTTCTGGACGCTGATTGAACTGGATAAAGTTCCATGTATATATCATACAGTTCCTAAATGCGCAGCCCACCAGAATCAAGGAAAATAATCCTTCTACTTATTCTAGATCATTTTCCACAGAAAATGCTTGGGTTTTATTTTATTTATTAAATTTATATGCTGCCCATCTCACTGTCAAGGAACTGCTTTCCTTTCTCATACTTGGTTACCTTATCCAACAGTGCCGTATCAACTTTCTGGCTGGCAAACCCACATAACAACCTCATAAATTGCGCAGCTGCAGGATCTGAAGTGAGTATGATGATTATTGCTCTCGGGGAAAAATGTTTTCCAATGGGAACAAAAGTGGACTTGCCATTTGGGCAGGTTTATCGGGATGCAATTCTTTAATCTAACCTGGGTTGGGAATAAAACCTTACTAAACCTTCATCCAATCTGTAAATCATTTGTGTAAAACAGCCCTCTCATTTCCTAAGTGACTGCAAGAGACCAGCCCATTCTTAAATTAATTATTAAATGCACCCTAAACACATACAAAAAGTATTATTTTTAGGGTGTGGAAGAATGACAATAGATTTCCTGAAAACCATTCTGCAAAGATGAGTCTGGGCACATCATTTTTTAAAAGCAATTTTTCCAACTGAGAGTCCAGAGCAGTGACTTATGCGTAATTGCAAGATCAAGAGCTTCGCCATCTTATTAAGCTGATCTTATTGAATCTTTGTTTGAGATTGGAGGATCCAAGAGAGAGAGTGGAAGAGTAACAGGCTTCAAAGGAGCTCCTTTGATGTTCTTTTGACATAAGTCTTGTTGCTATTGGAGGATGGATGGATGGATGGATGGATGGATGGATGGATGGATAGATAGATAGATAATTAGATTTTCCTTGTTTGTAATATCTCGCGTAATCCAGTTCTGCTTTGTTTGAAACCGTTGTTTTCCTTTGCAGGAAACAGGATTTTGGTTTGTGCTACATCACGTACCAACAGGACTTTCTGTTGGAATGTACCCACCTGGCTATTCGGAACACATTCCAATGGGCTCATTTTACAACAATCGGGCCCACTCCAACTACAGAGTAAGTCCACCTGCCGTGAAAACATTTCTTGTGGTTTAATGCTCTTTTTCCTCTTCCAATTTCTGAAGGAGAAAGCCGTCATTGATCACTGCTCATATTCCCCTGAAATCAAAAGCAAACTCTCCTGCTATCTTTAAACAAGGAAGAAAATATGCAGAGTCTGTTTTGTTACCTTTTGCTCCAGGGGTGAAATGCTATTGGTTTGGGCCGGTTCGCCAGAACCTATAGTAAAAAAATGCTTTAAAAAGTTTTTTAAAAAAGTTTTGACGATCCGCCGTGCGACAATCAGCTGTGCCGCGCGATTTATATTCACTAGAAAGCAGGAAATCCTGCTTTCTAGTGAATCTAGATCACGCAGCACAGTTGTCCCCCCACCTCCCCCAGCTGCTCTACTTACCTTTGCAGACTCAGAAAAGGTTTCTTACGGTGTGCATTCGCATGAAGCGAACCGGTAGCAGACTTCAGAGCATTTCACCCCTGTTTTGCTCCAAGGAGAGAGAAGGGGGGGGAGGGAGGGAGAGAGAGAGAGAGACAGACAGACAGACTTCTTGGAGTCATGAATTTGAGATGGGTGATAGAATGGAATCTCCAAATCAGGAAACTAAAAGGAAGTGTGATCCATTTTGTACCAGATAAGGCATCGAATTCCTTTGCTGGGGTTGATGTTGTAAAACACGCCCCCCCCATAAAATATATTGAAGATATTGCTTACCAAACACCTTTCCTCTTTCTCCCCAGGCTGGAATGATAATTGATAATGGGGTCAAAACAACGCCAGCATCAGCCAAAGACAAACGGCCAATCCTGACTCTGATTTCTGGAAGGTAAACTGATTTTGGTGGCCTTGGATTTGGAATTACAGTTGTTGTTCCTATCCATGGGAAATTTTGCATGGATTTGGGCTGTTTTCTTGCAAAAAGGATCTGACCAGAGCTGGGTTTCAGCAGGTTCTGACCAGTTCTGGAGAACCAGTAGCAGAAATTTTGAGTAGTTTAGAGAACCGGTAGTCAACATTCTGACTGGCCCCGCTCCCATCTATTCTCTGCCTCCAGAGTCCCAGCTGATTGGAAGGAAATGGGGATTTTGCAATAACCTTCCCCTGGATTGGGGAGGGAATGGAGATTTTACAGTACCCTTCTCCTGGAGTGGGGAGGGAATGGAGATTTTACAGTACCCTTCTCCTGGAGTGGGGAGGGAATGGAGATTTTACAGTATCTTTCCCCTGCCATGCCCACCAAGTGACACCCACCAAGCCACACCCACAGAACTGGTAGTATAAAATTTTTTGAAACCCACCACTGGATCTGACCTGCCAAGCCACAAATTGTTACCATCTAGGAACACCTTTCCTACTCCAAGTCTCTGTCTTAAGTTCTCATTCCCTATAAGTTTCTAATCATCTTCAAGAATGGTGATTTGCTATTTTTTTTTTCCATGCATCTCCTGATCCTTGAAGTTCTCTAATGAAAACTAGGAGCTTGACTTGGATGCAGGAACTTGTGAGAGGATAATAATCAAAGCAGCCAACCTCGAGATGTATTCCTGGGGTCGCTAATCCCCCTTTTCTTGCCTCTTGCGATTCCAGATACAGCCCACACCAGGATGCTGACCCTTTGAAGCCCAGGGAGCCAGCTCTCATTCAACGTTTCATCGCTTACAAGAACCAGGACCATGGAGCTTGGTTGAGAGGAGGCGATGTGTGGTTGGACGACTGCCAGTGAGTCTTAATCTCTCTTCAGTCCCATTTTTGCAGAAGCCGGGTTGGGCTAAATCTCCTTTTTCCAAAGTCTTTCATCTGGCTGAAATTTAGATGGAAATGAAAAATCAGCAAGGCAGCAGGCTTCTTGTTTTGGCCAATACAACCTCAGCTTGTGTGTGAAGCCTTTGTCAGTGCATCGTGTGCGTTTTGTTATGCACGTCGGTGTGCGTGCACCCTTTTACAATAAGCCGCAGCGAAAGAATTTTAAACAAACTCTTCTTCCTCGAAAGTCCAATATAAGCATCTGGTCTGGTGCTTTTATTTAATGTGGTCGCCAATGCTTGCTAAGAATTCCAGGGCTAGGGAAGTAGACATAAGACAGTGTTCTTTGGAAGAGAGGCTGCATAAACAATGCTCAGCGCAAAGCTCTCGTACAGATGGAAGACCGTTTCCTTATTTTGCTTTCTGGGAATGCTGGATGAACCCAATTACGTGTTTATTTTTTAACGTTTTATTTACAATTTTTATAGCCTGCCCCAGTCCACAAGGACTCTGGGCAGGGACCAGCAAAAATCAGATGTCTCAGATTAAATCTTGAAGATTTTAATTCTCCAGCTCTAGTCCTTCAACCCATCCTCACGCCAGAGTTGCCTATGCAAGAGAGGGCTGGTAAAAATAATAAATAAAAAAATTCAAGATGCTGGCCACAGCTATGAAACTGAAGCCGCACCCTTGTTTACTTCCATGAACAAGGGGGCAGGTTCATTTTCTTGGCTGCAGTAGCCATGATGACTTTCCTCGAACCCTCTGCAGACACCTTTGCAATCACTTTTGTCCAAGATGCAATAGTCTCCTGCCTTGGGCAGCGGGTTGGACTACAGAAGGCCTCCAAGGCAGTGGTGGGATTCAAATAATTTAACAACCGGTTCTCCGCCCTAATGATTTCTTCCAACAACCAGTTCATCAAACTGCTCAGAAAGTTAACAACCGGTTCTCCCGAAGTGGTGCGAACCGGCTGAATCCCACCACTGCTCCAAGGTCCCTTCCGTCCAGCCCTATGCAGGGGTGGGCTTCAAAAAGTTTTAGCAAGGAGTTCTCTGCCCAGTTGCTGGGTGGGCATGGCCATGGTGGGCGTGGCCTAGTCAGCTTCCTGCACCACAGCGGAGAGGGGGGGCATTTTTGCCCTCCCCGGGCTCCGGAAGCTTGTCTCGAGCCTCTGGGAGGGCAAAAACGGCCTCCCCAGGCTCCGGAGGCCCTCTGGAGGCCGGAAATGGGCTCGTTTCCGGCCTTCCTGAACTTTCGTTTTTCACCCTCCTTGAGCCTCCGCACGTGTCCTGCACTTACCTGCATCCAAAACGGGCTGCGTGGGGACTCCTGGGAGGGGCGGGATGGGGTGGGCAGGGCCAGCCAGGAGTGGGATTTGGGGGTTCTCCGAACTGCACAGAATCTTAGCTAGAGGTTCTCCCGAACCCCTGCAAACCCCCAGCAGCCCACCTTGCTCCAAGGTCTCTTCCGTCCAGCCCTATGATTGTACGACCGCTGCTTTAAACAAAATCATTCATGTTATTTAAGTTTTAATGCAGCTCTGCCCAAAGCTGACTCTCCAAGATTTCCTGTCTTAGTGAGATTCCACTTGACCTGGAGTCACCCCAAATTTCCAGGTTGCTACTGGTGTGCTCTAGAAGCCAAGAAGTGCAAGCAACTCTGGTGTGCTTGTTTGACACCGGAAATTGCCCTCCTATTCAACCAACAATGGCTGTGCTGACTCCATCCATTCCACCAGGTGCTTGTGGTTACTGTGGCAAATTGGTCTCTTAACCTTCCCCAGCCTAACATTTTCCAAATGTGTTAGGTCTGCAGTTGTTCGAAGTCCCAACCCTCAGAGCCACCAGCTGCACAAAGTCCTTACACACCTGGATCGGATTCTGTTGCAGAAATCTGAGCTTGGCACAACACAACTCTGCAAAACACATGACTGTTGTTTTGCCTCTGAGCTGCAGTCTGTTTGTGTCTTGAAAACCGACCCTAAGTATTTCCTTCTCCGTCTGGTCTCAGGGCAGCCTGTATTAGTTTAAAACAAAACAACCGCATGTTTTTGAGAACTACGGATATTTTACCAAAAAAATTGTTTTCACATAGGCCTGCTTCTAATCTACACACAGCCAAGTATTATCTCAGATAAGCAAGGATTAATATGAAAACTGTTCCGTAGCATTTCTGGTGGTAATCTGTAACTGTCCAACGATCTACAGAAATCCGAAGTTAGCTTTAACAGCCTTTGCCGAAAGAGAAATGTAAGGAAAGTACTTGATGCTGGTAATTTAAAACACAGGTAGTTCTCAACTTACAACAGTTTATTTGGGACCATTCAAAGTTACAACGGCATTGAAAAAAGTGATTTATGACCTTTTTCACACTTACAACCGTTGAAGCATTCCCCCCCCCCCCCCCCCCCCCCCATTGTCACCTGATCAAAATTCAGATGCTTGGCAACGGACTCATATTTATGACGTTTGCAAAGTCCTGGGGTCATGTGATCAGCTTTTGCAGCCTTCTGACCAACAAAATCAATGGGGAAGCCAAATTCACTTAACAACCGGGTTACTAACTTAACCAATGGAATGATTCACTTAACAACTGTGGCATGACAAGTCATAAAATGGGACAAAACTCACTAACGAAAGATGAATATACTGTACATGTCCCAGGATAATAGATTGGGATTGCAGGATCCAATCTAAGTCAAATCTCACTTAACAAATGTTTCATTAGCAGCATACATTTTTGGGCTCAATTATGGTCGTAACCCAAGGACTACCTGTAGTATTATTATTATTTTTCTTCAAAGACTGCACTGCCTTATTTTATCACTAGTCGCTCCTCCCTTCCTTCCAACAGAGATTTCACTCTAAAAATATCTCTGGGTGGTACAGCTACAGGTGGACCTGTATCTTACAGTATAATTCTTATAACGAAAAAAGATTCTGGGAATTTGGTGATGCTGCCACAGAGAACTAACAAGTTGCCTTAAAATAGGCTTTACTGTTTGCCCATCCTACTCAGTCTTGGCAGTTGCATCTGGCAGTAACTTTCCATGGTTCGTGTAGAGCTTCTTCTCATCTCACCTGTAGCTGGTGCTTGTTTGTTTTTAATTTGCAAAGGCCAAGGCTTTTACACGGGGTGTCCTCTGAGTTGTATTCCCTCTCCATGCAGCTCTTAAACTTTTATTCATTCTTAGAGTGACTTTCTTTCCACCTTTCTTTCATACACAGGGCACAGAATACTGTATCAATAGCAATAGCATTTAGACTTATATACAGCTTTACAGTGCTTCACAGTCCTCTCTAAGCAGTTTACAGAGTCAGCCTCTTGCCCCTAACAATCTGGGTCCTCATTTTACCCACCTCGGAAGGATGGAAGGATGAGTTAACCTTGAGCCTGGTGAGATTTGAACTGCCAAACTGACTGCAGCCAGCAGTCAGCAGAAGTAGCCTGCAGTACTGCACTCTAACCACTGCGCCAATGCTCCTGTGTCATATTTTCCCCACAAACACAAGTTTGTGAATGGGATAGCCTGAGGGGGGGTGGAGTTCTAGTCCTAAGAAAGGACTAGAACTCACAATCTCCTGGTTTCTAGCTCAGCACCTAATCACAATTCTAAGCCAGCTGTCTTGATAGTTCCATGTACATCTATAGACGTCAATCCTATTAAAACTACTTTAAATATATAATACAAATTTAGCTCTATTTTAATTGCTTATCCTCTTTTTCCTGCCTTTGATTTCAAGTCACAAAAGGCAGATTCCCCTTTTTGTTAATCTTCAGATTAGTAACTTCCTTAGAATAAGGACCTTAACTTTCTCCAGCTTCAAACCACAATACGAATGATGCTGCATAGTTAATTTTAGTTCCTACTAGACAATCAATGCCTTGTTGAGTCATTGTTCCAGAGATACTTCTTTACCTAAATAGAAAAACAGAATGACTGAAGACATCCATAAAAACCCTGTGGAAGTAGGAGTGACTTCCAACTTCCTGCTGGCTTCCCCAATGAGTTTCCTTGTTGAGAATCTGGCAGGGAGCATCGGAAATCTCCTTCCCTTCTCTTCCCTTCTCAGCAAGCAGGTTAGTGGCTGCTGCTGGGAGGGGGGGAGGGGAGGGAGCAAGGGATTATGGGACTGGCTGAGAAACTGTCAGGGAACTTTGAAAATGAAGATCACATGAACACAGCAGCAGCCCAGCAGTGCAGTAGCAGCCGGTAGCGTGAAAGCAGCCACAACCTTCTCAAACTTCATTCCAGGGGTGAAATCCAGCAGGTTCTGACAGGTTCTGGAGAACCGGTAGTGGAAATTTTGAGCAGTTCGGAGAACCGGCAAATACCACCTCTGGCTGGCCCCAGAGTGGGGTGGGAATGGAGATTTTGCAATATCCTTCCCCTGCAACACCCACCAAGCCACACCCACCAAGCTCCACCAAGCCACACCCACAGAACCGGTAGTAAAAAAAATTGGATATCACCACTGCTTCATTCCCTTGGTAGTTATAGATCCTGAATGTTGGGACACATTCTGTAAATTAGCCCATTTGGAACACCTTGGTTCAAAAACTGTTGCCTTATGAGGCACTGTTTCACCCAGTTAAAAGTCAGAGACTTTTAATAGAATATAGATTTAATACATACAAATGTGCCACAACGTGGTGAAAGCTCATCAGCATAAACAATATCATATATAGGCTTATTTCTCTTTCTTTTAGCCTTCGGGTTTCCTTTCATCCAAACAGCCCTTGTAATTGTATATTAACAACCAATTTGAATATCTCAGCTCTTTTATTTTTTTTTATTTATTTTTTTTCAAATCCCAAAAAGTTTTTCCCCCCAGCTTGTTAAGTTTTTGGCAGTGTTTATCCAGGCCAAGTTCAAATAAGTTTCCAGGTTTCATAACTTAAGTATTTTTATAGCTGTAGGGATCTAGCTGTTTTAATATTTTGTTACTGTACCAGAGCAAAGTATATTGCAATTTATATTATTTTTCAGTGCAGCAGTGCGGGAAGGCAAGAGAGTAATTTGCTTTAAACCAGGAACATAACTTGCTAGCTTTTTTAATTTAATTTAATAATTTTAGGGGTTTTTCCCATCTTTCTACTTCCCCACCCCCCAACTAAATTCAAATTTAGACCCACTTTCTGGTCTAAAAAAATAAGCAGGATTGAACCTCAATAGTACTTAGATGGAGACACTGGGAAATCCTACAGCTAAGTTAAACTGGAAAGTGCAGGTTGGCATAGTACTGATTAAGGTGCTGGGCTCGAAACTGGGAAACTGTGAATTCCAGTTTAGGAAAAATAGAATAGAAAAGAAAAGAATTCTTTATTGGCCAAGTGTGATTGGACATACAAGGAATTTGTCTTGGTGAAAAACGCTCTCGGTGTACATAAAAGAAAAGATACGTTCATCAAAAGATACGGTACAACACTTAATGATAGTCATAGGGAAACAGTCAGTATAAATCTTAAGGATACCAGCCACAAGGTTACAGTCATGTAGTCATAAGTGGGAAGAGATGGGTGATAGATACGATGAGAAGATTAATAGTAGTGCAGACTTAGTAAATAGTTTGACAGTGTTGAGGGAATTCTTTGTTTAGCAGAGTGATGGCATTCGGGAAAAAACTGTCCTTATGTCTAGTTGTTCTGGTGTGCAGTGCTCTATAGCGTCGTTTTGAGGGTAGGAGTTGAAAGAGTTTATATCCAGGATGTGAGGGGTCTGTAGATATTTTCACAGTCCTCTTTTTGACTCGTGCAGTATACAGGTCCTCAATGGAAGGTAGGTTGGTAGTAATTGTTTTTTTCTGCAGTTCTAATTATCCTCTAAAGTCTGCGTCTGTCTTGTTGGGCTGCAGAACCAAACCAGACTGAATGACATTGTGCCAGTCACTCTTGCTCAGCCCTAGGAAGAAGGCAAAGGCTTCTGAAACCTTACCAAGAAAACTGTAGAGACTTGTCTAGGCAGTCCCTAGGAGTGAACCTTGTCTTGAAGGAAACTTTATTGTAGTTCATGCTCTGTAATTGTCCTTCAACTTTATGGGGTGACTTCAGAATAAATGACCAGAGCCACAATTTCCCAAGAATGTAAAGGACTTGTTAGGAAAGGTCCAAGAGAAAGATTTCGTCAAAATGATCTGGGGGGTAGGTGAGTTGCAAAATGTGTGCGTTATTAAAATAGCATCTTTACTGAGTTCTCTAGGATTTGCAGCTTCTGTTATGTTTAATCCTGGTTGAAAAGTGCAGTGAAGGAAATAGTGATCTTGTTTATGCCCTTATTGCTTCATAATCTAGCATCATATTGGGAGAATCAGGACTTCTGAATAATACATAGATTCAGTTTCTTTTTTAATGTTTTATTTGTTTTATTTAGATAACGTTCCATTTTTATCAAACAGTGTGTGGTCTGGGTACAGTTATTTTTAAACAATCATAATACGCATATTTGTTGTGGTGTTCATCAACATAATATTGTTAATGTAATAATATAATATAATAACAATAATAATATTTAGCATCATCTTCTTTATAGATTCAGTTTGAAAACCCTTTGTTTAATGAGTTTTCCTTTCATATCCTTTCATATTCGAAGAAGTTCGTTTAAGTCTAAGAAATCATGATTTTTTTCCCCCACTGCAACAATGGGGGAATGTTACTGAGAACCAAGAAAGTTAAACAGCCTAAATGAATAATGTCATTAAGCACAGTCTGGAATCCAGTTCTCCAGATTAACCCAGGAATGTCTTTCTTCCTTGTAGGTTCGCTGACAATGGGATTGGCCTCACTCTGGCTAGGTAAGCATTCTTGTGTATGGAGATTCTCTGTTGTGACTTTTAGGCTCACTTAGTCATTACAGGACACAAATATTCTCCTACAAAACTATTTTATTATAACAGCTGAGAATTACTTCATTCCCAGCTTAGTCCAAATTAATTCCAAAACAAGTCCTTCAGAAAAAATCCTTCGGGCTTATCACAAACCTTTATCTTCTTTGGCACCCTGCTAAATGCCTTTCTTGGCAAAGCCCCACAAAGTTCAGAAACAAGAGGCGCCAACTGGAAAACAGATTTAGCAACGTTGCTTTCCTACAAAGAGCCCAAGAGCCTTTGCTGCTCTTTTAAGCCTTATGGGAGGGACCAATCATCTCCTGGCCTTACTCCTGAGTTGTCCTTTTTGCTTTAGCTGCTCTTGCCTTCTGGCAGCTCTGTGCATGCGTCCACTAGGAACAGGCTCCTTCTGTTCCTCTGCCTCTCTGCTGTCCGACTCTGGAGGCTCTGGAGTCCGCACTTCACTCTCAGATGGCCCTGGCCTCATCTCTGCCTCCAATGCAGAGCCCTCGTCCGGGCATTCCCCAGACTCCAGGACTGGCCCATGGTCCTCCCTAGCCTCCTCACTGTCCGACTCTGCTACTAGCTCCACTGGCAGCTGGCGGACCACAACATTCTCAGCCATCCAGGTCACGGTTGTCCCGCAAGTGCTTTTTTTCAAAAGGCAACCGGACTTTCCTTGTTTTTGCTTGAAGACATTTCGCTTCTCATCCAAGAGGAACGGAAGAAGCTTATTGGATGAGAAGCAAAATGTCTTCAAGCAAAAACAAAGTCCAGTTGCCTTTTGAAAAAAAGCACCTTTAGGCAGTGGTGGGATTCAAATAATTTAACAACCGGTTCTCTGCCCTAATGACCGGCTGGGTAAGCGTGGCTGGATGGGCATGTGACTGGGTGGACGGGGCCAACACGACATCACTCATGTTGAGGGGGGCCTCACCACGCCCAGCCCTGACTCAGCCCTCCCCTCCCAGCCACTCCTTGTCATGTCCGGCCTCACCTCATCTTTAGGTAAGCATTCTTGGTTCCTGTTCAGCAGTAGTGGGTTTCACTTACCTTCGCTACTGGTTCGGAACTCGCTTTGCTTTTGTGCATGCACAAAACCTTTTGCCCATGCACAGAGCGTCCATGATGACATCCAGGCAGGTGGGCGGAGCCTCCTGCCGCTCTCGCTACCAGTTCGCCCGAACTGGGGTGAACCGATAGAAACCCACCGCTGCTGTTCAGAGTTTTTCACCTCCTGCAGTTACAGAAAAGCAGGGTTTGGCCCAAGAAGCCACGCTGATCAGCCATTTTGATCTCTCCTAGTGGAGGAACCTTCCCGCACGACGACGGATCAAAACAAGAAATTAAAAATAGCCTTTTTGTGGGTGAAAGTGGAAATACAGGGACTGAAACTATGAACAACAACATCTGGGGGCCTGGAGGATTAGACCACAGTGGACGGACTTTACCCATTGGACAGTGAGTTTCTCTCTGGATATTTTCTTGCAGGGTTCAGGTTTCCAAACCTGTATAGAATTTAATTTGATTTTTTTTTTCTAAACTTGCCACTCAAAAGAGCATACATGAAAAAAAAAAAAAAGACATCTCTTTGATCTTGTTCTGTTCTTCTACAATGAACAGATCAGTGGTGGGTTTCAAATTTTTTTACTACCGGTTCTGTGGGTGTGGCTTAGTGGGTGTGGCATGGCTTGGTGGGTGTGGCTTGGTGTGCATGGTAGGGGAAGGATCCTGTAAAATCTCCATTCCCACTCCACTCTGGGGAAAGGATACTGTAAAATCTCCATTCCCTCCCCAATCCAGGGAAAGGTTACTGCAAAATCCCCATTTCCTCCCGATCAGCTGGGACTTGGGAGGCAGAGAATAGATGGGGGCGGAGCCAGTCAGAATTTTTACTACCGGTTCTCCGAACTACTCAAAATTTCTGCTACCGGTTCTCCAGAACTGGTCAGAACCTGCTGAAACCCACCTCTGGAACAGCTACTGATAATAACACATTTGAGATTCCTATTTCAATAAATCAGTCCCAACTGAAGTTCATCCAACTTCTGAAAGACCCAAACAAACTACTTTTTTGGCACAAGAGCTGCTTCTAAACTCATCATGGTTTTTAATTCGTCCTCAATTTGTCCCTTTGGTAAGGGGTGAACCTATGAGTAAGGCTTCTGCCCGTTGAAGGAGACTTGAAAGAACGGATGAAAACTGTCTTTCCTTCTGATAAGAGTTGATAGCTTTTGTCTATTGCACTTTAAATCACGTTATCCATTGCACATCTGGACTGAGGCTTGTGATATCAACGTGGACTCCATGGAATGCAAAAAAATGCTACTATCCTACCATTATTGATTCCCATTAGTATAATAATTGTAACCAGCTCTTAAGAACTTCCCTGTATCACAAATTGGATCCAACTGAAGAGATGATGCAGTCCAGCTTCCTACTCTGGTAGTAGCCAGCTACTATGCCTCCAGGAGAAATGTGCACAATAGAACACATGAGCAAATTCTCTGTCAAGTCTGGAGCCAATATGTGGACCTCACAAACAGCAGCCATTGAAAGCTTTATCCTCTCTAAAACCCTCATTCTAGACTTGGATTTAGATTTCAGACACATGCTTCCTCTGTTCTGGAATATCTGGCTAATTTAAAAGCATCTCTGACAAACGATTTGCCTTTAGACTTCTTTTCTTTCCACTCTTTTTCTCCAAACTTTTGTTTTCTTGTAGTCACTTGTTAGATCTCTGCTTTGGGAAATGTTTCACGCAATGAATGAATGAATGAATGAATGAATGAATGAATGAATGAATGAATATATTGCTTCTTAAGGGTTTGGCAAATAGATACTTGATAAATGGATGGACGTATGTACAGTCACAGACAAAAATGTCCCCATATAGTTGAAATATAAAATATTCAACACAGAGGCACATACGGCCATTCACAGCTTGAACACAACTTTAAAAACTCTGAGGTGTGTTTAGAATAGAATAGAATAGAATAGAATAGAATAGAATAGAATAGAATAGAATAGAATAGAATAGAATAGAATAGAATAGAATAGAATAGAATAGAATAACGGAACAGAACAGAACAGAACAGAACAGAACAGAACAGTGACTGGTCCAGAGTCAGCAATGAGCTTCTATCACTAAGTATAGACTTGTACTTGGGTATCCTGGTCCTTTAACTGTTCCACCACCCTGGTTCTTGGCAATGCGCTGGTGCTTTCTAACAATCCCTTGGAACCAACTCTAATGCACATCTTTCACAAATATGTTTCAGGAATTTCCCAATCAGAGGCATTCAGTTCTATGATGGACCAATCAATGTTCAGAATTGCACTTTCCGAAAATTTGCTGCACTGGAAGGCCGACATACCAGTGCTCTGGCTTTCCGCCTGAACAACGCCTGGCAAAGTTGCCCCAACAACAACGTCACAAATTTGTTCTTCGAAGATGTCCCGGTGAGTTTGTCTTCAGGGTAGATTGATGAACTGAAGGATTGTGCCAAGAACAAATCTTGGAGGCATAGCAGAATTTGCAGAGGAAATTCTGCCCCAATGACAGAATTTCCTCCCTGTACATTTGCAGCTGGTGTTGAACTGAGCTTGGATTTAGCTTCAAATAAGGATCTACGAGTTGGTTTTGGCTACGTTTTAAATTTTAGGGATTTATCGCTGTCTTCAATTTACAGCCATTCGTTTAGTGACCATTCAAAGTTAAAATGGCACTGAAAAAAGTGACTTATGACTCGTCCTCACCCAAGCATTGCAACATCCCCGTGGTCACATGATAATGGCCCTTGCATATATTTATGACGGTTGTAGCATCCTGGAGCCACATTATCACACTTTTCAATTAGAATATCTGTCTAAATAAACAAATGATGAACATATATTCCATTATTGGGAGGAAAACCATGAATATTCAGAGATTACCATGTGGGAAGCAAGTTGTGTTCCTCCTCAAAGAGATCCAAGCATTTACAGAGCCATATGTCTTTCTTCGACAAGGGACGTGGTGGCTCAGTGGCTAAGACACTGAGCTTGTTGATCAAAAGGTCGGCAGTTCAGCGGTTCGAATCCCTAGTGCCGCGTAATGGGGGTGAGCTCCCGTTACTTGTCCCAGCTTCTGCCAACCTAGCAGTTCGAAAGCATGTAAAAAATGCAAGTAGAAAAATAGGGACCACCTTTGGTGAGAAGGTAACAGCATTCTGTGCACCTTTGGAGTTGAGTCATGCCAGCCACATGACCATGGAGACATCTTCGGACAGCGCTGGCTCTTCAGCTTTGAAACGGAGATGAGCACCGCCCCCTAGAGTCGGAAACGACTAGTACATATGTGCGAGGGGAACCTTTACCTTTACCTTTTTATGTCTTTCTTGTTCCATGTAGATTTCCTCCAGAGTTTTCTTCGGAGAACCTGGGCCTTGGTTCAATGGGTTGGACATGGATGGCGATAAAACATCCGTTTTCCATGATGTGGATGGCTCTGTGTCAGAATATCCTGGATCATACCTGATCAAGGAGGACAATTGGCTCATTAAGCATCGAGACTGCATTGAAGTTCCAGACTGGAGAGGATCCATCTGTAGTGGACGCTATGCACAGGTAGCACGGATGGTGGTGGGCACGCAGATTGGAGGGCTGTTGGTTCACAGTTCCCGGTCACACCTAGGACAGGTTGAAAATTGAATGTATGAGCTATTTGCAAACCAATAGAAACCCAAAGATATAACAGAATTAGTAGAATGAAGCTTTTTCCACAAAGCCCCATTCCTAGAAGTTAAAAAGCTCCAATAAACTCAATGACAGCCTTCTACAAGTCTTAGTTTCTTCTATGCGCCGTAAGCTGAATGGGAAGCCAAATTTCACGCAACATGAAAGATTTAAATAGATTTTAAAACAATGCCATTGGCTTGAAAGATAGAGTTGGATGGAAAGTTCTTATTGAAGGCAGGAATTTAAAAAACCCTGGGGAATAAATAGCAATACCACTTAGATGTATATACTGCTTCACCATGCTTTGCAGCCCTCTCTAAGCGGTTTACAGTGTCAGCATATTTCCCCCAACAATCTGGCTCCTCATTTTACCTACCTCAGAAGGATGGAAGGCTGAATCAACCTTGAGTCGTGGTGGCGCAGTGGTTAGAATGCAGTACTGCAGAGCCAACTCACTGCTCACTCCAGAAGTTCGATTCTCAGCAGGCTCAAGGTTGATTCAGCTTCCATCCTTCTGAGGTCGGTAAAATGAGGATCCAGATTGTTGGGGGCAATATACTGACTCTGTAAACCACTTAGAGAGGGCTGTTAGGCACTGTGAAGTGATATATACCGGTAAGTCTAAATGCTATTGCTATTGAGCCAGTGACAATCAAACTGCTGGCAGTTGGCAGCGGTACTGCATTCTAATTAAATATACTATAATTAAATGTACTATAAAGGACTTTCTCTTTTTTTTTTCCTGGACAGGTCTACATCCAAGCATATAAGTCCTCCAACCTGAAGATGAAAATCATCAAAAATGACTTCTATACCCATCCCTTGTATCTAGAAGGCGCCCTGAGCAAAAGTACCCATTATCAACAATATCAGCCTGTGATCACTCTGCAGAAAGGCTACACCATCCACTGGGACAAGGCAGCTCCTGAGGAATTGGCTATCTGGCTCATCAATTTCAATAAGTGAGCATGCAAGCCAGTGATGAAATATAAAATTTGTTACTACCGGTTCTGTGGGCGTGGCTTGGTTGGGGGGAAATGTGACTGGGTGGGCATGGCCAAGTTTGTTTTTTATTTTTTTAAAGCATTTTTTTTACAACCTAATTGGGCGAATAGGTTGTAAAAAAATGCTTTTAAAAGTTAAAAAAAAAAGGCTCTGACGATCACAGTTGTCGTGCGTGATCGTCAGAGCCTTTTTTTAACCTTTTAAAAGCAGGAAGTAACGACACGCGGGTGGGTGGGTGGAGCCTCACGCTGCCATCACTACCGGTTCTCCGAACCATCTGCCACAGTCACTACCGGATTGCCCGATCCGGTCCAAACCGGGAGCATTTCACCCCTGATGCAAGCCCTAAAGAAAACTTTCTGGACTTTTAATGCCCATCATCTAGGGAAGCGGTCTCCAATCTTTCCAGCTTTGCAGACTGGCGGTTGGGGAGAGAGAGGAGGGAGCATTCTGCATGAGTGGTGGGTCAGCAACTTGTGCGTTTGTGTAAGCGATGCCGCTCGTACAAAGGGAGCTGCGCAAGCACGCTCATCTGCCCACTGTGCATGCAAGTAAAGATGCTCTTGCACATTGCACTCGCCTCCTGCTACCACAGTCCGATTCTGAACGGACCATGGACCGGTAGTGAGCTGCAACCCAGGACTTGAGGAGGATCCCTGATCTAGGAAACACAACACTTTATAATCTTCCAGCTCTGGCATCATAATTGCAAAAATTTTCATTCTGGGTTTTACCATCTTTTCACCTAGATAGTCTAAGTTCTTGCAAAAGAGAGGCAAAGCAGTCACAATTTCGCAATTGAATACAGGAAATGGGTCAAACTTATTCTTTACTCAGAGCCAATGATCTACCACCGGAGAACTCTTCCATATGACATTAATGGATCTTTAAATCATTTTGGAACTAGTTAAGCACCAACATCTAAACATTTAAGCCAGCATGGAAAGAATCACTGTAAAAAACAAACAAAAAAAAGTTAAATATTTGACTTGGCTTGTGGCGCGTTCCAGAAAAGTCATAGTCATGAGATTTGGGGTTGAGCTTTTTGTTTTTAGTAATGCTTATTTTCCTTTTCTTTATTTAGGAACGACTGGATCCAAGTTGGATTTTGTTATCCTAAAGGGACAACATTTTCCATTCTCTCAGATATTCACAATCGCCTTTTGAAGAAAACCTACAAAACAGGGGTGTTTTACCCAGCTCTTCAAATGGACAAACTTGAATATCGATATCCTACTAAAGGCTACTACTACTGGGATGAAGACACTGGGTAAGGAATTAGCAAGCATGCTTAAATTTTCGTGGGCTTTTAGGGGTAAGAAAGAGCTACATTTCTGACTGGATTTGAATGCATGACAACATCCGTCGTCCTTAGGGCTTGTTGTGTGTAATTGGTTCAAATCCTGCCCGTTGGCGTCCTTTTTGATGGGAATGTTCTCAGCAAGAAAAGCAATACCATATGTGGCCTTGCAGCTTTGTCGCAACAGCAGTCTTAGCCACTTCGCTCCATGGGACAATATCAGTTGCCATCTACCTTCATGGGGTTTTGAAATGTTCATGAGAACATTGAGAGGTAGAGAGAGGCCTGCTTTTCACACTTTTTCAGAGTTCTTGTTGGCCATCCAAAAGATAATGGGAACTCACATGAACAGGGAGAGGGTTTGGTTTTTAAATCCTAGAGGTCTGAATGTCAGGGCTCCAAATAATACATCCGCAACAAGGAGAACTCCGAGCAGGGGTGGGATTTAGCCAGTTCGAGCAAACCGGATGTTAATTTTACATCTGGTTCACCGAACCGGTAGTTGCAAGGACTGGCTGGCCCAGCCTACCCTGCCCCGCCTCTCCCAGGAGTCTCCACATGGCCCACTTTGGATGCGAGATAAGTGCAGGGCCCATGCGAAGGCTCTGGGAGGATGAAAAACAGGCCTATCGGAAGTACCGGAAGTCCAGAAAGGGCCCCATTTCCGGCCTTCAAAGGGCATCTGGAGCCGTTTTCGCTCTCCCGGAGGCTTGAGGAAAGCCTCCGGAGCCTGGGGAGGGCAAAAACGCACACACCCCCAGCCATGGTGCAGGAGGCTGAGTAGGCCAAGCCCCCATGACCACGCCCACCCAGCAACCAGGCAGAGAACCCCTTGCTAAAATTTTTCAATCCCACCCCTGACTCCAAGGCAGGCATTTTCCTGAAAGAACAATTTATTGGTGTATCTCACATTAGCACAAACCTGGTGAAAACCAGCTCTAAAAGTCCCGCTGATCTTCACCTAATTAAAAGTAAAAGTTTTGTCACTTCCCCAGAGTCACTGGTGAAAATCGTCCAACCAATCAGCACACCATCAAGTTGTTAGATGATCACCGCCCTGAGTCCACTAGGAGAAGGGCAGGATACAAATTTAAATAAATAAATAAATAAATAAATAAATAAATAAATAAATAAATAAATGATTTCAGCCTCCTCCTTCCAACCACCTGCATGAATGTCCTTGGTTCCCAGGGGAAAGAATTTTATTTTGACTACAGCACCTCAACTATCTCTACTAACCCTCCCCGCCTCCCTTCCCCTCAGTTCCAGACTGTGTCAGCGCTGAAGCAACAAGACAGAAAATGGCCTCAGTCAGGTCAGGCCAGCTTCAGGGTTGACACTGTCCCTTGCAGTCCCTCCTGCCCCAAAAGAAAGAATCCATCCTAACCCTTATGGATACAGGCTTCAGGTAGAAGGAAAAAGGGGGTGCACCTCCACTGGAAAGTCCCAGGGGAGTTTCATCTTTGCCACTGCCAGGAAGAGTGGCATCCAGGGGTGAAATGCTACCGATTCGGACCAGTTCGCCCGAACCAGTAGTAAAATAAATGCTACCGGTTTGGGCGAACCAGTATCTCCAACGATCAGCTGTGCCGCATGATTTATATTCACTAGAAAGCAGGAAATCCTGCTTTCTAGCCAATCTAAATTGCGCGGCACAGCTGTTCCCCCTACCCCTCGCTGTTCTACTTACCTTTGAAGACTCAGAAAAGCCTTTTTCAGCGCTGCACGGTAGCGCCTGCGTGCAAAGCACGTGTTTGGCACGCACCACGCATGCGCACCTGAAGCAATCCAGTAGCAAAGCAAACCACTAGCAGACTTCAGAGCTTTTCACCCCTGGTGGCATCCTATTCGGATTACGTCCGTTGTCTTGACTATGACATCTCTTTGGCCATGGCTGTTCAACTCTTGCTTTCTTCTTCTTCTTCTTTTTTTCTTTGAATAGGTTGTTATTTCTCAAACTGAAAGCTCAGCATGAGAAGGAGCCATTTGCTTTCTGCTCTAACCGAGGCTGTGAACGGATCCGGATCAAAGCCAATATCCCTAAGCAAACTGGTACCAGTGATGTGAAGCTCTGGCTTATCCGAAAATATGCCGAGAAGCCACACAGTGGATGTGCCAATGCCCAAAAAACTGCCTAGTGCACACATGGTTTATTGATTTACTGTTTTAATTTCCTTTGGGGATTATCTTTCTGGGATTTTCAAGGTCTTGTTTTGACTTTTTTTTTTTTTTTTTTTTTTTTAATTTGATTTATATGCCGCCCTCTTCCAGAGACTCAGGGTCGGCTTACAATGCGTTAAGACTTTAGAATACGTTAAGCCTGGAGGCTTGTTTGAGCCTCTCTTAATGTTGGCTTCAGTAGAAAAAACCTTTCTTCATGTGTTGGCAGAGAGGAGCTTTACTGACAGGGATTCTATTGTCATACTTTGTATTTACTCAATATCCTTTAGCCATGGTTAATTTAATACCTGTTTGTTCAATTAATTAAATGTTCCAGGTCCCACCCAAACCATTGACTCAGAAACTAACCATGCGGGCTGAAACAGTTTGTGATTCAGCTTAACATGTGAACACAGTTATAGAACAGGGGTGGGTTCTACTTACCTTTACTACTGGTTTGCAACGGGATCGTGCGCTCGTGCTCGCTTGTGAACTGGTCCGAACCGGGGGCAACCCACACTGTTATAGAACCAAATTCCAGTCCCGGATCATCTAAGTCAAGAGGATTTTTCTCTTGATTAGCTTTAATTTCATGGTGTTAATAAAAATTTTAGTCTATTATATCTTCTTCCACATGGGTCAAAGTTTCTAATTTTATACCAGGAAAGGAAAGGAAAGGAAAGGAAAGGAAAGGAAAGGAAAGGAAAGGAAAGGAGGGAAAGGAAGGGAAAGGAAGGGAAAGGAAGGGAAGGGAAGGGAAGGGAAGGAAGGGAAGGGAAGGGAAGGAAGGAAGGGAAAGGAAGGAAAGGAAAGGAAAAGGAAAGGAAAGGAAAAGGGAAAGGAAAGGAAAGGAAAGAAAGGAAAAGAGGGTTTGTTGGAGTCTTGGCTGTTGGAGTGTGATGCCTTCAGAGTAGGGCCATAAATTGTCCAGATTCTGATATTAAAGTTTGTTTAGAAAATCCTAAATCCTAATCTTTAGAAAGATTAGATGCAAATGCCATTTTCTTTCTTTTTCAAAAATAGATCAAGAAGGATCATTTTGTAGAGCTGAAGATAGACAGCTACAAGACCAAATATTACCATCTCAAGGATGACTTTGCCTATATCTCAGTAAGTTTTTGCACCCCATTTTTTTAAAAAAATGCTTATTAACTTACCAATTTATTTATTTATTTATTATTTACATCTTCTTCTTTTCAACATCTTCACATCAGTAATCCATATTTATACATTTTCTCTTTATCTTAATATATCTTTTATACATATATTTCTAGTATATCATATATATACCATTATAATATATTCTCTTAATCTAAATATTTTATTTACATTTAACATAAACAGGTGCCTAATTTCCTTTCCACAATTTTTATATCTTCCCATTTATTTCCATATTCCTCTACCTGATTTAACCATTGTTTAGTTATCTTTTGTCCCTCCCCTTTTTTTCCCCTTTCTCCTCCAACCATTTATACCATTTCTCCCAGACTAAGTAATATTCTGTTTCATCTTTTTCTTGTATATCCTTTGTGAGCTTATCCATTTACGCACACTCCATAATTTTTCTAATCACCTTGTCTTCTGATGGTATGTTATTGTTTTTCCAGTTTGGGGCGAAAATTATTCGTGCTGCTGTAATTATGTGAATAATTAAGTATCTTATTTCTTTTTCATATGACCCGGTAATTATTCCCAGGAGGAAAGTTTCTGGCCTCATTTCTATTTGTTGATTTATAATTTCTTCTATTTGTATTTTAATTACTTGCCAAAATTGTTTTGCCTTATGGCAGGACCACCACATTTGATAATAAGTTCCTTTTTGATATTTACATTTCCAACACAACGGGGAGGTATTTGGAAACATCTTTGCCAATCTGGCAGGTGGGAGATGCCACCTATAAACCATTTTATATATATTTTCTTTATAGGGTACAGACATTGTTAGTTTGTAATTTTTATTCCATAATTTCTCCCATTTATCTAATTCAATATTGTATCCAAAATTTTTCACCCAAATTATCATATTTTCTTTAACTACCTCTTCTTCTAATTTGTATCTTAATAAATAGTTATAGGGTTTTTTTTTATCAATTTGTGCTCTGTTCTTACCAATTTATTTTTATACAGGGATGTTCATCTTGAGTTCAGTTTACAATAGAATTCTGTAAGCAGACCACATAAATCCAAAATGAAGCAGCCAAGAAAACATTCAGAACAAGCAGCAGTTTGTTTCCAAACCTCCATTCTGGGAGGATGTTTAAAAATCGCTTTTTCCTTTTGTGTAGGTTGATGGCAAGTCATTCTATCTTTCTGAAGAGGGTATTCAGGTAGTCGTGATTGATGGTCACGAAGGAAAAGTTGTTGACCGGATGAGTTTCAAAAATATTATTCTGCAAGGAATCCCAGCGCAGATCATCAATTACGTCAACAACATTCGAAACAAGTGAGTTAACTGGAAACAGGGGCTCTCCAAGTTTCAGAAAGAAGACATATTTGTAAAGTCATCCATTACAGTGTGCAACCTTCAACTGAGGTAACCCCAGAAATATTAATCAGCATAATCAACAATCAAAAGGACGTACACAACCAAACCATGTATAAATTGATCAGATTAAATAGCCGTACAGAGCAAATTTGGGGGAAGGATTGGAGAAAGGAAGATTCTGTTAAATTCTGTGGCTTTCTATGATGAGCAGCTGTTCTGCTAATCAATTTTGGTGAATAACTAATTCCACGAAATGATGCATGTGATTTTTTCTGCTCTCTTCTAGTTCTATAGTGGTGATGACCTCAAAAGGAAGGTTTGTTTCAAAAAGTCCATGGACCAAAGTCCTGGAGACGCTTGGAGCAAAACCCGGCTTTAAATTGAAAGGTAACACGTTATTAATATCGTAAAATATAATATGAAATGTCGTATACTTTTATTATGGCTAATATTGTGAAGAACACGCTTTCCAGCAGGTTTTGCTGTGTAATGGCCGCACCTTTCTTTTCAGATCATAATTTTTTACTGCCCTACATCTTTTCACTTAGAAGGCTAATAGAGAAAAAGACATATATACTCCAAATGTTTCATTTTGGTAAACTGTTGAAATCCTTACTACAAGTGCATTGAGCTGAAGCTTTGGAGAGGAGAGGCCCTTTCTGTAACACAGTTTTTCACCTTCCCTTTTCCAACCAAAAATTCAGTAATTGTTTTTAGTATGATGAATATGGAGCAATAGCACTTAAAACTTATATACCACTTCACAGTCCTTTACAGCCCTCCTAAACGGTTTAAGGAGTCAGCATCTTTGCCCCCAATAATCTGGGTCCTCATTTTACCCATCTTGGAAGGATGGAAGGCTGAGTCAACTTTGAGCTGGTCAGGATCGAAGGAATTGAACTTCTGGCCATGTGAGCAGAGTTAGCCTGTAATACGGCATTCTAACCATTGCGCCACCATGCCTGGAGAGCCAGTTTGCTGTAGTGATTAAAGCAGCAGGCTAGAAATCATCCTGTGTGGTCCAGTCCCACTTTAGGCATGAAGTCAGCTGGGTGACCTTGGGCCAGTCAATCTCTCTCAGCCCAAGCATGGAGGCAATGGCAAACCACTTCTGAATTCTTGTCACGACTTTACCTTGGCAATTTACCAGGGACTTATCTAGGCAGTCACCAGGAATCAAGACAGACTCAAAGGTACTCCCACCCCACCAAAGGATGAATATTAGTTACTGTATTTTTCAGCGTATAAGATGCACCTTTTTCCCCAAAAAAAGAGGGTGAAAATCTGGGTGCGTCTTATACTCCGAATGTAGCCCCGCCCGGCTTCTCAAATGGAGGTTTCAGAGGCTGAAAAAAGCATCAGAAACGAAGCTTCAGAAAAAAAAGCCTCCAAACAGAGCTTCAGAAAAGAAGCCTCCAAACAGAGCTTCAAAGGCTTTTTTTCTGAAGCTCTGTTTCGGAGGCTTTCAGAGGCAGAAAAAAAAGTTTTTTTCTGAAACAGAGTTTCAGAAGTTTCAGAGTCTGGAAAAAAAGTAAGGCACAGAGCTCACAACCAATGAACCTGTTGCTAAAATTCACCTCTGGGAACAGCTGATTGGGGGTATTCCGGGAGGCCGATCCACCTGCCAATCAGCTTTTTTCTTATTTTCCTCCCCAAAAACTAAGATGTGTCCTATACTCTGAAAAATACGGTATACAATTCAGCTGTACTTCAAATACAATCAATTTAGAAATCCCGGATTCTAAAAACAGCAAAGAATACTAAGGATTCTGCATCAGGAAAGTAAACTTGGGTGTCGAGATCGGAAAACTCCTTAGAAATATTGCAGAGTTTTTACTGAATGTAAAGAGTATTTGAGAGGTATTTTTAAGTATTCCATATATCAGTTCCATCTGTCCCAGTGTCGTAGCCGGAGAGAAAACTGGATTTTAAAAAATTGGGTTCTTCATATTTAGAACATCCCTAGAAATTCTATTATCACCAAATGCAACTTTTGGCAACTTTTTCAATTCCTAGTTTGCTACTATTCAACCCACTCAACTTTAAAAAAAAAAAAAATCTTAATGCCCATTAAAGTGGGGGGAAAGGGCTGTTCATAGAATTATAGAAATGTGGAGATGGAAGGGATCAAAAGGAACATTAAGCTCAACCATCTTTAATATTAATATTAATAATAATAATCAACCAACTCTTCTTGGAAAACCGGCTCTTTGATGCTTTTGGTTATGATCTCCAAAAGGTTCTTGAGAGGACAAAGGAAGAGAAAGCAACATGCATCTTCTCTGGAAAAGATGCTGCGGGTTTAAGGTGTGGCATTCATGGAAATGGCCTCTGAGTGGTGCAGTGGCCTAGAGGTGGAGCTCTCGCCTCACAATCAGGAGGCTGTGAGTTCGATCCTAGGTAGAGGCAGATATTGCTCTCTCTCTCTCTGGGCACACTGAGAATATATCTGCTGAACAAAACTCCGCACTGGCGACAAGAAGGGCATCCGGCCAGTAAACACTCAGCTCCATTCAGTGGCCCAGACTCCACCCCGCAAGGGATTATGGGGTCATTAAAAGATGATGATTCATGAAAATGGCCTCTGATGGTGCTGAAATACACTCTCTGCAGAGTATTGGTTATAAATATTGCCCCGGATTGTTTTTCTCACCACGCGTTCTTATTTATTTATTTAAAGATAAAATGGCTTTTGTCGGCTACAAGGGCAGTTTCCAGCCATTCTGGATCAAGCTGGAGACCGATGAGGACGCCGTGAGGATCTTTCAAGCGCTGCCCGTTCCTGTGGTGAAGAAAATGAAACTCTGAGGGAGCATCTCTCTTTTTCAAAACGCCCTCCAGAGAACAAGGGATGAGAGGAATGGTGGCTCTTCTAAGATGTAATATATTTTGTTGCTGTACATAAGAGAGAAGTTACTGTAAATATGCCTTCACCTTGAACAATCAACATTCCTTGACCAAATGAGTCCACTTTGGTTTGATCTGTTTCGATTAACTAACAAGATTCCCTGACCTGCCAGCAGGTTCAGGGCAACAGGTCTCATCTCGTCTCATTTCTATGAAGCCACCAGGCCACCTCGTGATTGATTCGTGGATCACTGTGGTCCTGAATTAATTGGACGTACGGAAGATGCTTCTTCTTCTTCTTCTTCTCCAATTCAACCTTTCACTCGTCTTGAATGTTCAAATGCAGACTCAGGAAACGAATCCCGTTTTTACGTGGTACTGCTGGCTATGTAAAATAAGGATGTGTAAGCTAAAGTCGATATGCACAGCTTAGCAAGGACTGCCAAATGTCAGGGCCCATCAGCATTGCTAGGACATCATCGGGCGCTGCGAAGGGCGGACAAGAGAGGGGAGTTTTACAGACGGAGTTTCACGTCTCGTTCAAATACTAGAATAGCCTTAAGCTTCCTAATTATTACATTAAAGCTATTACGGAGATTGGTGGGAGATCTCACCCAACAAGACAATGAAGATTCAGTCTTAGGAAATCGTAGTTTATGAAACAATTACTTACTCTGATGTTACAGGATATATTTGGCTAAAGAGGAACGCCTATCCTTTTTTCCCAGCCTGAAAGATGTTACTTCTTCCCTCGTATGCATATTTAATAATTGAAACTATATTGAGCTATAGGCAAAAACAGGGTTATATATACGTTCCCTGCCCTCGTTCCTGGATCAAAAAGTTTCAAATCTCAACAGCCATCGAGCGAGAATATTGTACAATAACGATAGTCCTTAAGGGTGGTTTCAACCAAAAGTCTCCAGCCTCTGCCCTTCTGTACAGGTAGTCCTCGACTTACGACCACAATGGAGTCCAACATTTCTGTTGCCAAGTGAGACATTTGTTAAGGGAATTTTGCCCCATTTTACCACCTTTCTTGACACAGTTGTTAAGTGAGTAACATGGTTGGTTAAGTCAATCTGACTTTGCTTGTCAGGTCATCGCAAAAGGTAATGACTCCAAGACACTGCAGCCGTCATAAAGATGAACCAGTCGCCAAGCATCCAAATTTTGATCACGTGATCACAGGGATGCTGCAACGGTCTTAGGTGTGAAAAATGGTCGTAAGTTACTTTTTTTGGTGCCGTCGTAACTTCGGTCATTAAATGAAGATTGTTAAGTCGAGGATTACTTGTAACTTAAGAGTGACGTTTTAAGGTTTCTGCTATCCAACTCACCGTTTATGTTCTATGAATCCTGTGACTTTTCCGAAATTATATCCACAAGTTGTGGATATAGCAGCCTACATTTAACAGTCAGCTTTACATGATCTTTTGATTTTTTTTTGTGCGTATGTCAGTTCAAATCTTTTACCCGAAATAGCTGGTCCTTTTTCGGAACAAGTTGTATAGCGTTTTATATATTTTCTAAAAAACAAACAAACAAAAAACCTTGATGGGGGAATATTTATTTATTGCAAAGGCACTAAAAGGGTTATAACGGAAGAGAGCAAAGATGTTACAAGGGGGAGGAGGGGGGGGAGGTTGCCAAACAGTAAAACAAAAATAAAAATAAAATGGGAAACTCTCTCTTTGCAGTTGAAATATTTTTAATGGCCGCAGATGTGGCACCCTGTCTCTTGGCAGGATTTTTTTTTTAGTACGATAAACCTCTTGTTTCCAAATGTTTTCAATTGCAACTTAACATTTTGTGATTTGGAATACACAATTTATTGAAATAAAATTTCAGTGCAATTTGTCGATTTGTTTATCCCTCTTTGGAGACTTTATTATAATAATAATAACTTTATTGTCATTGTATGGGGATACACAGTATACAACGAAATTCACTTAACACTCAAAGACCAGGTCCAACACACATAACAATCCCCAAACAGACTCCCAGCCACCACAATTCCCCACCCCTAAACCACCCAAACATCCACACAACAGACCAAATAATACTGTCCAACAGCTCACTGATGGTGGTGGCCCTTGAGTTCATTGTTGAGTGCAATTTTTTTTTTAATTTGATTTATATGCCGCCCTTCTCCGGAGACTCAAGGCGGCTTACAATGCGTTAAGCAATAGCCTTCATACTTTTGTATATTTATAGAAAGTCAGCTTATTGCCCCCACAATCTGGGTCCTCATTTTACCTACCTTAGAAAGGATGGAAGGTTGAGTCAACCTTGAGCCTGGTGAGATTTGAACTTGCAGTAATTGCAGGCAGCTGATGTTAATAACAGTGCTTTAGTCTGCTGCATCACCAGGGCTCCTATATAATTATATAATTATTATATAATTATAGCTCTGGGATAAAAACTATTCAAAAAACGTGCAGTCCGAGTTTGAATTTTTCTGTATCTTCTGCCAGAAGGCAACAGTCCAAAAAGATTGTAAGCAGGATGGGAAGAGTCTCTGAGTATTTTATGCTAAAATACTAAAACACCTTTCATCCCATTCTCTACTAGTAAAAAAATGTGTTTCCTTTTTGTGCTTGATTTATATATATAAAGCTTTAAAAAGCTTAAAAAAAAAAAAAAAACCTAACATGCCAGAGCAAAAGTATCAAGAGCATTTCTCACCATTTGGTGAAGGACTTGTTTAAAAAGCCATCCAGAAAATGAGCCGCATAAAACTTTAATAAAATAAACAAGTAAAAAATAATAAAAAGCTGCATTTGGGGACCTTCTTCCAAGCAGTTGGTGAAAATATGGAATAGAACCCCAACCTTCACCCTGTTTTCTATGTAAACTGGAGTCCTATTCACTGTTTACTTAGATGTGACTCACTTCTACATTCCAAATCCCAAACAGTTTTAAAATTCCCTCTGGTATTTTAAAGCAATCTACATGAGCAAAATCTTCCCCAATCTTCCTAGTCTGTGCCCCTAATGGAAAATATATATATATATATTATTTTGGAAAACAAAAACGGCTAAAAGGTTGCTGCTCTTATTTCCCAACAGTGACGTTTCTGTAAATGCTCGTCGTGGCTGGATTTGCACAACAGGCATTGCTAGAATATGGTACCATCCTGGTTTGTACGTCACCGTCTTATGCAAGCCTAAACAACCGGGTTAACTCGGTGAACTTGATTTAGTCAACCTGTAGGCAGAGAAGCTGGGTCAAGGCAAGCTAAAACAGCGATCTTCTACTTATCTTATGCTTGCTCTCCCTCTAGTGGAGTTCTTCAGTCTAAGCTGGCAAACAACATTTCTGAGCTGTCTCAAAGATGCTTTTTTCTTCAAAAGGCAACTGGACTGTTTTTTGTCTTAAGGAAGAAGAAAAAAAAACAAAACATTTCGCTTCTCATCCAAGAAGCTTCATCAGTTCCGGGGGGGGGGGTGAAGGATAAAATGAGTATGCATAAAACAGGTTAATAGCTCTTAATAGTGACCAAATGATTTTTGACCCTGGGAGCTGTTTGTTAATACTATCCAGGGGTGAAATCCAGCAGGTTCTGGAGAACCGGTAGCAGAAATTTTGAGCAGTTTGGAGAACCGGTAGCAGAAAATATCAGCTGTGGCTGGCCCCAGAGTGGGGTGGGAATGGGGATTTTGCAATATCCTTCCCCTGGAGTGGGGTGGGAATGGAGATTTTGCAGTATCCTTCCCCTTCCCTGCCCACCAAGCCACGCCCACAGAACCGGTAGTAAAAAAAAATTGAATTTCACCACTGGTAGTACCTGTAAAAAAAAAAAAAAGGCTGATGCTCTTATTATGCATTTCATAATATAGAAGTTAAAGTGTACAGGTAGTCTTAATTTTAACAACTGCCTTGTTTAGTCACCCTTCCTACTGTTTCAACGGTGATGAAAAAGTATCGTATTTTTTGGACAATTTTTCACACCGGAGTATAAGATGCATCAAGATTTCGAAGAGGAAAACAAAAAAAATAATTCTTGGCATCCGTGCATCCAGTTTTTGCCCTCCCCGGCCCCCAGGGGCACTCTGCTGGCCTCCCAAACCCTCTGTGTGTCCCGTTTTTGCGAAAAACAGACCCATTTTTGGCGAAAACGGGACATGCGTGGAGGTTTCGGGAGGCCAAAAATGGCCGTATTCGGTCTATAAGACGCACCAACATTTCCAACCTTTTTTAGGGAGTGGTGGTGGAAGTGTGTCTTATACTCCGAAAAGTACAGTAACTTTACATTCCAGCTTCATTTTAAATTATATTTTATTCTAATCTCATTTTAAATTGTTTTTATCGGATTTTATCAATAATCTGTGTTTGGAACTCTGCACTTGGATGCGGCCTATGGGCTAATCAATAAATTATGTACTCTGTTTCCCCGAAAATAAGACATCCCCTGATAATAAGCCCAATCGTGCTTTTGAGCGCATGCCCTAAAATAAGGTACCCCCTGAAAATAAGCCCTCCCTGAAAATATTTAAACGTGTGCGCAGCTGGTCCCCGCCATTTCCTCTGGTTTCCTCCATGCACCCCAAAATAATAAGACCTCCCCGAAAATAAGTCCAAGCGCTTATTTCAGGGTTCAAAAAAAATATAAGACAGGGTCTTATTTTTGGGGAAACACAGAATGTTATGTAACTTTATAACCAATCCTCAGATTTCCAACCTTCACAGGTCTATAAAGCCAGGGAAAGCTGAAGGAAGATCATAACCAGTCACAAGTGACCACTTCTTTTAACAATCACGTTGCTCGTCCCAATTATGATTGCTAAACAATGACTACCTACATTTCCAATCTTGCCCCCTTGAAATATGTTGGTGCCTCTGTGCATCTCTCGCACCAACATAGGCTAAAGAACTGCAGGACAGGCAGAGAAATTGTCATTAAATGTTTGCACATCTAAATCTCTATCGAGATTCTCAATCATCCAGGTCAGGGGTCTGCAACCTTAAACACTCAAAGAGCCATTCGGACCCGTTTCCCACAGAAAAGAAAACACCGGGAGCCACAAAACCCTCCCCGTGCCTGACTATTTCTTGAGCGGCCACAAAACTAGCATATGTAGTTGAATTAAACGTTCTGTTTTCTTCTGAAACTTTTCTTTTCTTGGATTTATCCATGGTTGGCCTACCAGGGGTTGAAAAGCTCAATATATTGCATGCCGGCAGGTGTCGCACATTGGCGGTTGTGACGCATATTTTGAGTGACAGGGAGCCGCAGTAGAGGGGTGAAAGAGCCACATGCAGCTCCAGAGCCGCAGGTTGCTGACCCGATCCAGGTTATGGTTATCACAAAAGTGCTTTTTCCAAACGGCAACTGGACTTTTCTCTTTGATAATGTTTCACTTCTCATCCAAGAAGCTTCTTCAATTAGAAGAAACATTTTCAAAGAAAAAAAACCAAGAGAGCCCAGTTGCTTTTTTGGTAAAGCACCTTTGAGACATTTGCACATCTCTTTCAAAAGTTTGTTGGCAGTCTGCCACTTGAAAGCTCTTTATGTATTGGTTAATGTGTTGAAGCTGCTTTTTCGGCTACCTTAAGGTAAAGGTTCCCCTTGCACATACATGCTAGTCGTTCCCGACTCTATAGGGGGCAGTGCTCATCTCCGTTTCAAAGCCGAAAAGCCAGCGCTGTCCGAAGACGTCTCCATGGTCATGTGGCCGGCATGACTCAACGCCAAAGGAGCATGGAACGCTGTTACCTTCCCACCAAAGGTGGTCCCTATTTTCCTACTTGCATTTTTTACGTGCTTTCGAACTGCTAGGTTGGCAGAAGCCGGGACAAGTAATGGGAGTTCACCCCGTTACACGGCACTAGGGATTCGAACCGCTGAACTGCCGACCTTTCGATCGATGCACTCAGCATCTTAGCCACTGAGCCACCAGGTCCCTTTTTGGCTACCTTACATCACCCCATTTTTCCTTCTCTCGGTGACACTGGTTGACAAAAGTCTTGTACTGGAATTGAGGTTTAGGAATCCCATTGCATAAATAATTCCAAAATAGCCAACAATAAATTTATCTGCCATGCAAATAAGCCATCAGGCATGTTTCTAATCTTGCCTATGGCTACTCATTCTAGGTCTCCAAAAAAAAAAAAAGCCCAACTATTTTGCCTTTCTTTAAACAGCATCATTTCATCCACAGGAGAAATCTCTTAATCTGCTGCTGCAAAAATGCCCCTACTTGTCCTTGTCCTTGCAAGCTAGAATGAATGCCAGAAACACTCTTTCAAAACAAAATCAAGAAGGGGGGGGGGAATGGGAAAAAGGAGGAAGCATATAAATTCAACATCAAGGATGAACAGTAAATTATCACTCCAATCGCCCTTCCAAAGTTCAAAGCAACAAAGCTTTTACAGAACAATCTTTGCATGTAAAACGTCATGTAAAACAAGCCTAGCTTCTGGAAGAGATTTGCACATTTTGTTTTATTTTATTTTTTTTTATTTTATTGAATTTATATACCGCCCTACTCCCGAAGGACTCAGGGCGGTGAACAGCCATAGAATAAAACATATAAATACAAAATTTAAAATAAAATAAAATGAATTAAATAATTTGGCTGAACAAATTTAAAACCCCAATAATTTAAAAACAAATTTAAAATTTCCATTTAAAAAGGGGAAAGACTTAGGTCAGGCCGGCTTGATGAAATAAGAAAGTCTTGAGCGCGCGACGGAAGGTACGCAGATCTGGGATCCTCCGTATCTCCGGGGGGAGCTCGTCCCAGATAGTAGGTGCCCCCACAGAGAAGGCTCTCCCCCTGGGGACCGCCAGTCGACATTGTTTGGACATTACATTAGCCAGACTTCAAAACAAGCATATTTCCTTTATTATTCGG